CTAGACGTTCGAGCAGAAACGATAAGCGACATAGTTTATTTTCATTTTTCTTTCTATGAGGACACGTTCGATGGAACGCAGACTACGGGGCATGGTGAAACGTGTCTAGCAGAAATAACTCTGCATACGAGAGATAAAAAGTCTTACCAACGCGATGAATAATGACGGCAAGTGAGGAATATGATGCTAGATATTTAACTCTTCGCTATTCCTTGTTTATCTTTCCTTATGTTTACCCTTTTTCTATTATCGTGTGATTAAGACTTACAAGGGGAACTACCCAAGTGTTACACTCACTTATTAATGAAACTTTGACAGCTTATAGAGCTCGTCAAGCTGAACACGCCTATACCCCGTTTTGTGGGCAGACGACTACTTGTTTAAAAGATATTAATAATTAAAGTTAGTTACTACTTACATTGAGAAGTCTGACAGACTCGCACATACAACTCGCAATCTAGAGATCCACGGTTCAAATCCTTGATTCCCAACATTTCTTTTTTTTTTAATGATAATTTGTCTCTTATTGAATAACTATTACATAAAAATTATCATAAAAAAAAATATTTTTGGGAACCAAGGATTTGAACCGAGGACCTTCAAGTTCCAAGTGACGGATCTGCTCCGTGGTTAAACACCTGACTCGTAATCTAAAGGTCCTCGGTTCAAATCCTGGGTTACTTTTTTTTTTTTTTTTTTTTTTTTTTTTTTTTTTTTTTTTTTTTTTTTATGATAATTTGTAGATAATAGTTATTGAAAAAGAGACAAATTATCATTAAAAAAAAAAAATGTTGGGGAACCAAGGATTTGAACCGTGGATCTCTAGATTGCGAATTGTATGTGTAAGTTTGTCATACTTCAGAATGTAAGGAGTAACTAACTGTAATTGTTAATATCTTTTAAACAATTAACCGTCTGCCCCCAAAAGAGGGTATAGTCGTGTTCAGCTCGACGAGCTCTACAAGCTGGCAAAGTTTCATTAATAAGTGAGTGTAACACTTGGGTAGTTCTCCTTGTTAGAATTAAATTATCTACATTGTTCTATCATTAGACTTGAAGTCTCAATTAATATTCATCTATGGTAGAATGATTTCAACATTCCTATTATCCCGACTACATGGCATTCAGGATATCGGTGCAACGAGGCGGTAACCCGGTTCCAGATGCACGTATAAGACAACGATGTAGGATGATCGAGCAACAGTGATAAATGCGCTGGTACCGAAGTCTCGGCAAGGTGAAAAGAAGCTCACACACGCCTCTCGGTGAGTACCGTAAGAACGACCTTGCCTCCGAATGGCGAAACGGTCCGGGTGCAACTACAATAAATACCTTCGATACTTTACACCTGGTAACTACCAGTTTCAGGAGAGAAACGACCGGTATCGAGGACGAGGACGCGAGGTATCGTAGAAGTCGTCCGTGGAACGGGTCCTACCGAAACTCATCTTCATCCGAGACATTTCAAGTGTTTCGTAACGCAAACAGTATCCATAAGTCGAGTGAATTTTTGCACGTAGATTGCATTCACTCGGAGATTGATTACTTCATCCATCCTTGTGTTTCTATGAATTCAGAAACCGAGGAGGATCAATTAGAGCCACTTACGTAATGCTCGACTGTATCAAGGCTATAAAATGACACGAAGCTCGAACGGGATTGAATAACTCGGAAATCAACGGGAGGAGTTTCGAGTGTCCGACGGAGTTCGAACGGGTTGCAATTTCGTAAGAAAGCCGCTTCGACGGAACGCTGATCCTCCCGCGAACCGTACGAGGTAGCCCGGAATATAAAATTACGAAGCGGGTAATCCGATCCTGTACACGTAAGCCGAGCAGATAATTCGAGTTAAGTGGCTCTCTCGGCACTCTAAGTCGTCGTGTGTACGGATTTTACCTGCGTCACACTTGAACGGGGTAGTAAAAGGTAAAAAATTCGCGCAGAGGCGGGCTGCGTGTTCGAGTGCCCACGCGTGTTGGAGCCCGCTCGCTCTTTTCTCCACTTCGACCTCTCTATCCCCCTTTTCATTTTTTTCTTACTCCTACAGAATGCTACGTGTCGTAACCAACTATAAACATTGGCACCTGCGGCCCTGTCACCTTTTCTTCTATCCAACTGCGCCGACCACCGCTTCTCTTTGCAGTCGTAAACCACGAACGATCCTACCGGACGAAAGTGCCGTGAATCTTTCAGGGAAAGATTTTCTACCATTTCCCGCCTTGTTTCAGGAATTCCCATAACCGTGAGGAGAGAAATGGTCAGAGGTACGCCGCGTGAGAACGAATGGTAATCTCACGGAAAGTTTCGGATTCCGAGAAAGATTTACAAAGCGCGTTGGTTTTAACAAAATTTCTGAAACGATTTGTTGCAACAGTCTCGTTCGATTTCGTGGAAGGAACGCGAGAAGAATGTTGTCTTGTCATCGAGTTACTGACGTACGGTACTTTCGTGTCTCCGACTTCTTTTCGCGTTCTTCACCCTGCTCGCGTACACGTGTCGTCCACCTGACGGACGTTAATTATACGAGCGTAGATCGAATGATCTGCTTTCTGTCTATATTTCAATGCCTGCAACTCGGCTCGTCTTTCTTCCGAAACGCAGTCGTCTTCGATGGCATTCGAAAATCGCTAGGATGCCGTTTTGCAACCAGTTATAGCGCTATTCAATGACGCAACGTAGCGGCATTCCAGCGTCCACGTTTCTGTATGCAAAGTACACTAAATCTTTCCAGGAATGAGAAAAGTGTACGTAGCACGTATCCCATTTCGCCGTCCAAAATGCCAGAGGAATATACGACCCTCGTTCCCGGCGACAGAATGTAAATTTCAACTGCTTTTTGTCTAAACAGTCGATCGTAAAGTATCTCGTAATATATATATTCAAACGGGTGAAATTTTATGGCGTTTATCACCGACGGACTCCGGGTCAGAAATTTTCAGAAAAATTTCAATACCATTCAAACTCGCTGCTTTATTCAGACGTCGACCTTTGCTACGTGATTTCGCACAACCAGCGCGAACCAGCTCCGCGGGACACCCGGTAGATTTACCATAGGGCTTTGCCATCGTAAGAGAGCGTCTGAAAGCGATGGACGAGCACCTGTACGACTACGGTAACCTGTCAAGCTGGAAGGGCAAGAAAGGGCCACCTAACAAAAGCTCTTTTACCATCCGAATCCTCCTTACCTGCTCGTTTCTTCCATCTTCGAAATCTCGAGCTCGGTACCTGCGCTATTTTGGCGAGTAAATTTATCGATTCGACGAGCAACTTATTCGGAAGGATCTACCCTTAACCAAAACGCCGTCATGTATCGGCACTCGTGTTAAATTATCATTAATGTACACAGAAGGGCATATCTTTTAGATAGGTGTTATCTCCTGTCGCACGAGCTACGAGTAAACAGTGTAGTTTGAAATCTTCTTTCACCGGAAGTAGTCTTTTTTGCTACGGGGGGTAGTAACTTGCATCGAAACCGATGTACTTTCGCCAAATTGCATCCTACATCGTTTGATAGTTATGAATATTTTCTCAAGTCCCAGAGATTATAAAACTGTTTTTCATCTCGAACGAATGGAGCGTACAAGTTACGGATTAGAGGACGAGATTTAACGAAGGGATAATGGTTCGAGGGCCCCTGTAGGATCCCTTTCCGCCCGGTAGGAGCGTGCGTAGTCGTCTTTAGGATCGAAGAAACGGCCGGCACCGAACGAGCAGAAGGCCGGCTCGAAAAATCAGATGGAGGAAACGGCAAGTTAAAATAAGCCCGCCTCGCCGTCCTTCTCGTGTAAACGGGGAACAGAGACGGTAGAACTCTGTCGTGTTCGTAAGACACCGCCGAAAATACACTGATGCCTAATAGAAGGAGGGCCTGGCGCGTACCAAGAGTTTATACGCTATATAGGCTCGCCCAAACAAGCTGCAAGCGGATGAAAAAAGGAAACCGATATCGCTCGTGGGTGTAAATTATAGCGATGGTGATGGGAAAATAGACCAACAGAAGCGTTTTCTATTTCAGCTATCCTCCTCTTCTTTTCGGCAATCGAATTTATCCACTCGTGTAACTGAGTTTGACCGGAAACAAGTCGATCGCAGTAAAACTCATGTTAAATTTCACGGACGATTTGCACAGCATTTGCTCGATATCTTTTTAAAACAGCTGTGCAACCAGACTGCACCGTTGGCTCGCGATATACACCCCGGTGTCTATTCGTCCGTGAGTGGGCTACGGTTCGCTCAATTGATCGAAATTGGCTAATTCGTCGAGGCTGAAACTATCCAACTCCAAACGGGGCTAATTATCCGGTGTATCGAACGACAGTCTCTCCGGTCGTTGGCAATATATTTTGAAAGAACAGTCGAAAAAGGTGCAGGGGTGGAAATAAAAAAAGTAAATAATGATATATTCGTAGAAGAAATTGCAATTGGCAAGGGAATTAGATAGTAGGACTCGGTTAGGCTTATCCACGACGAAAGTGACCGTACGGTGTTCGTTTTACGTGCGGCGAGACATAGGAATCGGCCGCCGGTGTCTCACGTGTCTCCTCGTCTCTCTACGGAACTGTGGGAGCTCCCTTTAGCATATAAAGGAGTCAGTCGCGTCCGTGCGTTCGTCGTCATGGCGAAACTAGTTCGACCGTCCAGTTTTTCCACTGCTGTGCACGCTTCGCTTGTGCTCACCTCGATGGTGGGAGACAGCATCTCGCGAGCAGTCGCGTTCCTTACAGCGACACGCTAATAATCCTGCAACTTGTTGCTGCACGCTCGTAAGTCCAGTTTTATGAAAGGCGCAGCATCCTTTGTGACCGTCACACACGTTGCGTTTTCATCTTCGATTCGAAATTTATCACATGACACGTTTCGTCTATCACGTGTCATAAATTGATCAACGGAGATGGTTTGAATTTTAAATGTTCGCGCGCTTGAACGCGGCCAGTGAAACGCATCGAACGTGTTTAAACGCGAAAGATTAACAGAGAAAGATATGCGCTCGAGAAACTCACCGAGATCCTCGACCAGTCGTAGCATGACACCGCCGATGTGCAATTCTCCTTTTACTCGTAAGCTCCTCTCCACTTGAAGATCTGTCACGTAGACACGCAACACCCAACTACCGTCCACTTCGTGACCGTCGGAATACATCGTTTCCCGATCGAGAGTTGAAAAGTGAAAAGTGAAAAAACAAAACTGCCGCGTGTACACCTTCGGTGCCGGACACTCGAGCGCAATGGAACGATCGTTTATCAACGTGCAGAAATCATGATTTCTTGCGCGGCACTTGACACCGCCACGAATACACTTTAACGTTAATCGTCGATCGATAGAAGATCAATTATTGTACACGGGAACCACTCGAGTAGATCTCGCGATTCTCGAGCAACACGTTACGTCGAAGTGTACGCAGCACTTGCGATACACTGGCTGTCTCGAATCGGAGTCATACAAATTCGTTCCGAATTCTGTGTGGAGGCGCTCCAATCGGCAACCCCCCGATCCCACAGCTGGTTTCACGACTGGTGTTGGCCTTACATACACTCTCGACTCGGCTCGGCTCGGCTCAGCTACACTCTCTTACCGAGAATAGAACTATTTACAAGAGACGCGCGCTCGGAATGCGCGCGCAGTTCTCCTCCACCTTTCTGCCGCCACGACGCGGCTGCAGCTCGCGCGTAACCCGTCACACAACTTGGTTTCCTTTCCCTTCCCGTCGACCGACACCGCTCCGTATTCTTTCGTCGTTTTTCCTTTCCTATTTTATTGCCTTCGAGTGCTCGTCGTCCTTCTCGGCCCTTTCTTCCTTCGCTGACGTAGCCTCTTGTTTCCACATATTGGCACACCATATCTACTTCAGAATTATTCTAAGCCAGATTCTACGCATAATTAATTCTTCTATTTATTATAATGTAATTTTATAATAGAGTAAATTAAATGTGCTGCCTTGATCTGTAAGATCTTTTCTACGCGCGATGGCATCTTTTGTTATTTTATTTCTATAAGTACAGTCTATAACATTTATGACTAGTCTCGATTAGATACATTAAATTCAAAATTTATATACTATGTTATCTATTACAATTACTTCAAACTTCACTCAGTTACTTCCTATAGCGCTAGTGTACAGTAACATAAGTAGAATTCTTCTTTTACCTACTGCTTGCCTTTTTACTATATAGTACCGACTTATAAAGAAACCGCCAAAGCGCTTCAGTCTGTCAAAAGATGTAGGGAGTCGTCTCCTACTTTCCGCAGTCGGCGGAGTGAGAAGATCAAACTGAATCTATCACTATCCTAAATTCCCTGTTTCACAATTTGTTCGTTTTTAGGTCTTATATTTCACTTGTCGGTATTACCTACCATCGGTATTACCTATCGTCGGTATAATTGTCGCGTACTTTATCAATTGCTGATGCAATTCGCGCAATTTTCCGCAATAGCCACAGTTTCATTAATTAATATATAAAGAACACTAATTTAATGGGTGAAACTTCCTTATATTACATAGTGACTCACCCCGCAATCGATGTAATAGTCTATAGAAAATCTATGGGTCGCACATTTTAGTCACGGGGTCCCTGACACCCCGGATGCCATAATGTCGGCAAAGAGTAGGTATAATAAGAGGCGACACTCTGAGAGAAAAACTACTTGTAGAGAGAGACAAAGTGATACAACCCATTTAAAGGTCAATTCGGCAATCTTCGTTTTCGGCCGTGAACAGTCGTGAACGCGCGACCAGTTTGTACTGTGGATTTACATACATACCCTATTTTGTGGAAACTTCTTTGTCAGAATGTTCCAAGAAGCAAGAGTTTATAGCATTTCAGACCGTCCTAAACCAAGAATTCCATTTTACTTCGCACCCATGTACGTAAAAATATGTATCACTTATGTAGAAATGTAACCGGTTTTATTCAACCTTGTAACAATTCTCCTCTAGAATATTTAATAAAGTTATTTATTAGATTAAGAATTTATTATACACTTAAATATAGTAATAGGGATTTTAAAACTTGCGTTAAAACAGATAGGAGACTTCATATTGTATTAAATTTGTAAGTATTGTAATATCTTCAAATATATTATCCGAAACCTTCCCTCATCCTATTGTATAATTGTGTAATTTATGTTCAAATATATTTTCTAATACTATCATTTCATTATATTTCTTACTTTCCCACTTTTCAATTATGTAAAATTAATGTAAATACTTCGATTAATAACATACAGAAAAATTGACGACGCAAAATGTTTATGTTTGTATCCCTCTCCTGAGCCTTTGCCGAGGATCCCTTTTATTTCACTTTTTCCACTTATTTATATAATTTTATCTACGTTCATTCAATTTGCTGTATTTATCATAGTAGCTTATTAAATAAACTCATTAGGAGGACGAACGTGTTGATTTTATTACTCCCGTGTGCATTCTTTACATCTCTGATTCCACTATATTTCTGCACCCATATATCACAGTATTCCTTATATCTCAGTATTCCTAACATCTCTGCATTCCTTACATCTCAGTATTCCTAACATCTCTGCATCCCTTACATCCCTGCATTCTTTTCATCCCTGCATTCTTTTCATCCCTACATTCTTTTTATCCCTACATTCTTTTTATCCCTACATTCTCTTTATCCCTACATTCCTAACATCTCTTCATCACTTACGTCTCTGCATCCCTAACATCTCTGCTTCCCTTACACCCCTGCATCCCTCACATGCCTGCATCCCTCACAAAGAACCTTAGTTCCTTTTTTCGCCACCAGAGGGCGCTGATTCGACATCGAAATTTTAGTTCACATTTTTGCCGCCAGGCGGCCAGAAATTGAGCAAGCTTTAGTTCCTTTTTCCAAAACCAGATGGCGCTGATTCGACATCGAAATTTTAGTTCACATTTTTGCCGCCAGAGGGCCAGAAATTGAGCAAGCTTTAGTTCCTTTTTCCAAAACCAGATGGCGCTGATTCGACATCGAAATTTTAGTTCACATTTTTGCCGCCAGAGGGCCAGAAATTGAGCAAGCTTTAGTTCCTTTTTCCAAAACCAGATGGCGCTGATTCGACATTGAAATTTTAGTTCACATTTTTACCGCCAGAGGGCCAGAAATTGAGCAAGCTTTAGTTCCTTTTTCCAAAACCAGATGGCGCTGATTAGACATCGAAATTTTAGTTCACATTTTTGCCGCCAGGGGGCCAGAAATTGACCAAGCTTTAGTTCCTTTTTCCAAAACCAGATGGCGCTGATTCGACATCGAAATTTTAGTTCACATTTTTGCCGCTAGGGGGCGCTGTTTTTCGAAATTTTCGTGAAATTCTCGAACTTACCTTTACTTACCTTTACTTACCTGTACTCGAAGCGGTCTTTATAATATATTTATTATAAGGGATGCAGAGATGGGAGGAATGAAGGGATGAAAAGTGTGCAGGGATGGAAAGAATGTAGGGATGTAAGGGATGAAGAGATGTAAGTAATGTAGGGATGAAAAGAATGTAGGGATGAACAGAGTGTAGGGATGGAAAGAATGTAGGGATGTAAGGGATGAAGAGATGTAAGTAATGTAGGGATGAAAAGAATGTCGGAATGAACAGAGTGTAGGGATGAAAAGAATGTAGGGATGTAAGGGATGAAGAGATGTAAGTAATTTAGGGATGAAAGGAATGTAGGGGTGAAAAGAATGTGGGGATGTAAGGGATGAAGAGAGGTAAGGAATGTAGGGATGAAAAGAATGTAGGCATGTAAGGGATGAAGATATGTAAGGAATGTAGGGATGAAGAGATGTAACGAATGTAGGGATGAAAAGAGTGTAGGGATGAAAACAATGTAGGGATGATAATAATGTAGGGATGAAAAGAGTGTAGGGATGAAAACAATGTAGGGATGTAGGGCATAAAGAGAGGTAAGGAATGTAGGGATGAAAAGAATGTAGGCATGTAAGGGATGAAGCGATGTAAGGAATGTAGGAATGAAGAGATGTAACGAATGTAGGGTTGATAATAATGTAGGGATTCAAGGGATGAAGAGATGTAACGGAACGAGGGACGTAAAGGAATCCGGGGCTGGGGCCCCGGTCTCCACTAGGCGCGGCCCGAGGAGTGCCGGCATCGGGTGTGGCTCCCGATTTCGGCGGAGTTAGGCACATGGCGGAGGGTGAAAGGACCCTCCCTACCGCCCTAGTGCAGGCCACCGTGGTGGTTTTAGTGGGTAAAAATCCCACACTACCTCCGACCCCTCCCCAGGGGGGCTGAAGGTGTCTTTCTGAAGATTTCCACCACGTTAAAAAAAAAAAAAAAAAAAAAGTGTATTTAAGGATGGCAGGAATGTAAGGAATGCTGTGATGGAAGGAATGCAGGGATGTAAGGGCTACTGAGATGGCCTTGGCCTTTAATGAGGGATAAAATTATATAAATAACTGCAAAAAGTAAAATAAATGGGGTCCTCGGCTGGGACCCTGAAGAGGGATATAATCGAAAATGTTATCCGCTTTGATGAGCTTATTAAATAAGCAAAAAAAAATAAATCAAGTAAATTAAATAAACTCTGGAAAAAACTAATTGCGCCCTCTTCATACGGACCTGATATTGTCCGGGGTGTCAGGGACCCCGAAGCACCAATGACTCTTTTTGCATACCGACATTGTGGTATCTGGGGTTTCGGAGACCCCAAAGCACCAATGACTCTCTTTGCATACTGATATTATGGTATCAGGGGTTTCGAAGACCCCAAAGCACCTATGACTCTCTTTGGATACCGACATTATGGTATCTGGGGTTTCAAAGACCCCAAAACACAAATGATCCTCTACATACCGAGATTATAACATCCGGGGTGTCGGAGACCCCAAAGCACCAATGACTCTCATTGCATACCGACATTGTGGTATCTGGGGTTTCAGAAACCCCAAGCGCCAATGACCCTCATTGCATACCGACATTGTGGTATCTGGGGTTTCAGAGACCCCAAAGCACCAATGACTCTCTTTGCATATCGACATTGTGGTATCTGGGGTTTCGGAGACCCCAAAGCGCCAGTGACTCTGCATACCGACATTGTGGTGCTTGGGGTTTCGGAGACCCCAAAGCTCCAATGACTCTCTGCATACCGACATTGTGGTATCTGGGGTTTCGGAAACCCCAAAGCATCAATGACTCTCTTTGCATACCGACATTGTGGTATCTGGGGTGTCAGGGACCCCGAAGCAAGTAGCGAAATATAAGAACGAAAAACGAACAAATCGTGAAACTCACTTGTTCGGGGTAGTGATGGGTTTGACCGGATCTAGTGAAATATAAGAACGAAAAACGAACAAATCGTGAAACTTACTTGTTCGGGGTAGTGATGGGTTTGACCGGATCTAGCGAAATATAAGAACGGAAAACAAACAAATCGTGAAACTCACTTGTTCGAGGTAGTGATGGGTACGACTTGGATAAAACAAACTTGTAAATAATTAAGAAATTATTCACTCACAAACAATAAAAATGATATATTTGTAAATCACAGTCGCTTTCCAATCAATTACAGTTATCAGTTATCACATAATCTGTTTATTATAAAAAATTATTAAAAAGTTTCGGCTCACATCATGATTAAAATAAAATTGCTAATTACAAAAGAACTAATTTGTCATAAACGTTAAAAATAGACTCACAATCAATTACAAACGAAATACACTAAGAAAAATTAAAAATAATCCATATTTTATTATTCCTTCCGCCTAGCTTCATGTAAGTCACCGTTGAGGGGCTATTTCGTCGGTGATGGAGATCTAATCTCATCTGGGGTGTCTGGGATCCCCTAAATCATGACCCCTAAAAACAAAGACAGGTCCAGTCTTTTACATCTGTAGTCACTGATTGAATCCATTCGTGTTTTCGGCAAATGTGGATACTGTAAATGTAAACGATTTTAACATTATTAGCATTATAAAATATTTAATCTTTTCTGTATTGAAAAGATTTTGTGGTATGTTTAATGAGAAACATTTAAGCAATGAATAAAAGCTTTGTAAAGAAAACTATAGTAATAAGTATACTAACCTGTAGTAGAATTTTAAATTTAATTGTATAATTAACATTTCAAGATCATAAAAATGCCATGCTGGTATTATGAGAAGAAAGAACTGCGAAATACACCATCAATTCAAGATGGGATTGATTATGAAACAGAATGCAGATATAGAAAAGAGGGTGCACGGTTTATCATTGATACAGGAACAAAAATGGATTTAGGTTACAATACAATGGCAACTGGTGTTGTTTATTTCCACCGATTTTATATGTTTCATTCATTTAAGAACTTTCCAAGATATGTAAGTATCCATGGGTAAATATGGTTTAAAATCTGAATGGTGTGTCTCATGTTTTTAATGTCACTTAGGTGACTGCATGCTGTTGTTTATTTCTGGCAGGTAAAGTAGAAGAAACTCCAAAAAAATGTAAAGACATCATTAAGACTGCTAAAACTTTGTTAACTGACCAAAAATTTATGACATTTGGAGAAGATCCTAAGGTAAATTCAGATTATATTTTATCTCATTTAATTAGTAACTTATAGAATAACATTTCTTTTATAAGCATGTTTGTTTTACAGGAGGAAGTTATGACATTAGAAAGAATTTTATTACAAACTATCAAATTTGATTTGCAAGTTGAACATCCATATAGTTATCTGCTTAAATATGCAAAATGCCTTAAAGGTACACATATGAATCTAATATATATCATCATGAATCATATATTAAATAACAAGATGTATTATGGCTATGTTGCAGGTGATAAAAACAAATTACAGAAGATGGTCCAAATGGCTTGGACATTTGTTAATGATAGTTTATGTACAACATTATCTCTCCAATGGGAACCAGAAATCATAGCTGTTGCTCTCATGTATTTAGCTGGAAAGCTTAGCAAATTTGAAGTAGTAGATTGGAATGGAAGACAACCAAAACATTTACGTTGGTGGGATATGTTTGTTGAAGATGTTACCATGGATCTTTTAGAAGGTTTGTTACAATAGTTTATTTATTCACTTATTTTTCGATATGTGATTCTTATATGTACTACAATTTTTCAGACATATGTCATCAGGTACTAGATTTATATTCACAAGCTAATAATACAAAGCCACCAGATTCACCACCAATGACACCATCTAATGAACCATGTAGAGATAGAGCAATACCTCCACCTCCCACAGAGTCAGCACCTAACACACCAAATGGTATATAAAAATGAGATTCTTAGTTTTATTTGTATTTAATTAAATCAAAAATGAAATACAAATCTTAAATTATATTTGCAGTAACGCCAGGAAAATCTACCAAAGTTGAAGCAGCTGCAGTTTCAGCAAATGGATGTCCACCTACAGATGCTACAGATCCAATGAAACCAATGGATGTACCACCACATTTCCCAACCTATCCAACTAATTTTCCACCTGGTAATATCAATTATCCACCAGCCTTTCCTCCAGCAAATGTTTCGGTACCTCCTCCTCCCGTGAATGCGATGAATCACATTGTTCCACCTATGCACCACATGGGTACACCTGGTGCTATCAGACCAGCACCGCCTGCTCCTAGTACAACGCAGTCACCATTTCAACCATATCCTTATCCTACAAATGCTTCATATTTTCCACCAAATAATCCAGTTCCTCCAGCACCCGCACCGCGCACGTATTATCCACCACAACCTTAGCGAATAGAAACTCTTGATACCAAAAATATAATTTTTTTTCGTGTGTGGTTATTATATTATTAAAAACTTAATAATTGAATTTTTGTAAATATTGTAAATATTTAATATTTGCTATTGACAGTAATATTAAATGATAAAGCTTTTACATTAAAAAAATTAGCTGAAATTCTACATATAAAGGTTGCCTTTATTAAAAAAATCTTTTCCAGCAAATGAAACATCATGTAGTGTGCAGTTCAAAGCTACAAATAATTTTATAAGAGGTTCTGCAGATGCAGAATCCAATGCAAAACTATCTATATATAAAACGTATAAAACTGCAGGTAACTCCATAAATTCTGCATATGACAAAACTGAAAAAAAAAAATACAATTTGATTACTAAATTTTTATATTAAACCATGTTTCTATTTGAATTAAAACTGACCTCCTGCTGTAACTCCATATACAATATTTGGTTGTTCCAGAAAGGGTTCTTTTAACTTGCAAACATTATTACCAGACTCTGTGACTAACATTCTCAGGAATGATGGTACAGCTGGTATGTTTTTATTCTTAAACTGTGATATATGTCTATATGTTATGCAAATTGTATTTTCTACACTTGACAAAATATCAGTCATCTAATAAATTCCAAGAAATTAATATAGAGCACTTAGCATCTGATAGCAGATTACTTCACTTAAATATACTTACTTTATTCACAAGCTTACTTGAAAATTTTACATCAAAATGTTCAGATACAATGCATAAATAAACCTCATCATTAATTTGATAAATTGTACCTGCTTTCTTTTGTCTATCATCTTCTACAAAACATACTTCTTCCGAATTTTTACCCAAACTTTCCTTTGAGAAATCTAATTTCATAAAAATCAGAAGTCATTAAGATATCAACGCTGGCAAACAGGAGTTATATTACCGATTAATATTTCGCCTTCAATTACAATTAATTTATTGATTCGAGTTGGCTTCTCTTTTAACCATCGAACAAAGAATTCACTGGAATAAATATTAAAAGATAATATTTAATATCTTCAAATGTATTTATCTGAAGGAGGTTATGTTAAATAAAAATACAACTTACGGTTGATATATTGGTTGTCCTGTCGGTCCATCTTCCTCTTCGTCATCCCAAAATGCTCGTGAAACTGGAAATACTACTTCACCGAAAAAACTAGCCATTTTGCTAGATGAAATTAATTGAGAGCGTTAATTGCTTATTGCTCTTCTTAGTGTGTCATGTCATCATGGTTATCATGATCATCATGTTACGAAGGTATCAGAATAACCGCTACTCATCGTTCATGTTTGAAACACAATGAAAGAAGAATAAGCATCAAACAATACATCAATTCTTTTGTTTATTAAATATTGTATTTTATTTCAATAAAATTTTATGTTGTTTTAAAGTTACGTGAATATTACAAAATTATTTACTTGCCAATCAGCAATTATACATATCTGTATAAAAGTATAAAAATTCTTGATGTTTTTATCATAGAATTATATTTTACAATAAAGTATTCATATCAACAATGTCTTACTCTACATTATCTTTTACATTAATTGTACAAATAATTATCTTTCATTCAAATAATAGCCCTTTGTCTATCGCTTTAATAATTTTAAAACCCAAGTATGTGTTTAAATGTAATATAAAATGTGATGATGATTCTTTTTGGTTTTAAATCATGTTGATTTGGACCCTATACATCATTCTGGCGATATACATATGTATACCACAGTTCACCAGAGTCCATAACTGCGATGCGCAGGTTGGAAGATGGTGGGGGAACGCAGCGAGCTCTCTGCTAATCGCTTTCCACTTCGTTTGGGAGTACCGCCAATCAGGGCGAAGATGCGCACTGGAGAAGCGCGAAGAACGAATATTAGTCTTTTCGCAGTTATGGACTCTGGTGAACTACGGTATATATTCAACATCGTCTTAAAACTACAATGTACGCATTTAAAGTATTTCATTCTATAAAATAATGAGCATTGTTGTTTTCAAGGTACAGTTCTGTGACACATTTTGGTATCTAAAAATACCTTACTATCATTGTATACATAATGCTCTAAAATATACGATATAAAATCATGTATCTAACCCGTGATATATACTGTTCCCAAGCTAAACCGTAGCGCATTTTACAACGTTCATTGTCCCTTACTGCTCTGTGTACTAACAATGCTGTACACATAACCGCATAATAATAAGGCAAAACATCACATGCCAAACTTGTACACGATATCGACCACCACATGATTATGTCACCCAAATAATTTGGGTGTCTCACGTAACCCCACAAACCTGACACTATAAGTTTCGTACCGCGTATCGTCGGTATGGTTTCCAGATCTATGAAATAATATAAACGTTTAGAAATTGCAAAAATTTCATAAACTTATTACAATACTTACGTGCGAGTGATGGAGATAAAGGATTCTGTCTGAATTCGTTCTTTTGTAAGTTACTAATCCTATACAGTAAATATCCAATTATAAAAGGCAGTACAGGAAGAACATTCAAGTAACTCAACTGTGTTCTAAAGTTCAAAAAAAAAATGTTTGATTTCATTTTGTACTTACATTACACCATTTTCAATCAAACTGTAATACTTACTTATGGTACAACATATACTTTGTTGTAAGTGTCGGTAAAAATGGAAATAGAAAATATCCAACACATAACATGTAACCAGTTCCTTCATACATTATCTCAAAAGTTGTTAAAATTGCAGACTCAAAGAACAAGGTATCCATTGCATAAATTATTTGTAGTAAACAAGTTAATAACACACTAACATTAAGGTGTTCTAAGCTGTAACTTTCGGCTTCTTCGACTGTTTTAATTACGATAGATAAGTTAACAAGAATCTGTAAATACAATAAAAAATTTATAGGTTTTGTTACATTAAAGAACATTTCTTATAAAATTCCTACCACAGCTATTAGAGATGAACGGAAGAGACATAGTTTAAAGTCTATAGGACCGATTCTGGGATTAATTTCTCTTCCTTGCCAAAAGTTATATATCGTACTATTTGTTGATCCGTGTATATTAAGATTAGCTATGGGAGCGTTATCACTCTTTAAAAATAATAACACTGATAAAATTGTTCCAATGATCCAACCACTAATTGACAACTGTACACAATTTTCTATAATGAAATCAGTGACTTTTATGTCTTGGTATATACACATGATAAGTACAAATAACGATAAAACAGCACTTAAAAATCCTGGAAGAAAAGATAAAATAATTGCTAACGTTTCGTGCTTCAAACGGAATAGTTCACTATTAATAAAATTACCGTTTGAACGATATTGTAATCTTTCCATCCTGCTCTGTGGGCCATAAATTTTACGTCCAACTGGAATAATTGAACTAATAGCCACGAAAAGCAAATATCCCAAATATGCAACAAAAGCTTCTAAATTTATATAGGTATTTAAATCTGTAGTTATATTAGGGTATCCAAATGAACACCGCTTTTCTGTGCACATTAACTGTGGTAAAATTGTACTCAAAGGTAATAAAAATATTAGAATGAGACTACCAAGCCACCCTCCCCATTCCTGTGGTTCGCTAACGATATTTATTTCCTTTTCCCGTTTTTCCATTACCTGTGTACTCAAATCAACATCTTCTTCGTAGTTTAAAGTCTTTAACAAATCCTGAAACGAAATGTTAATAAATACCCATTGAAAATTTAATTGATTTACGGTAGATAATTTATGCATACAAAAGAAACTTTACTTGATCTCTTTGTACCGAGTGACCTCTTTCTTTCCCCTCAATAAAATTAAAATCGAACAACTGACTTTTCCTTTCTAAAGGAAGCGAGACAGCTCTATTAATATTTCTTGTTAACATAACCATTTTATGGTCTGATTCAGGTTTTAGCGCACCCGAGAAGAGCCTCGTTGATCTACGCGTGACTGTACTCATTTCTTTTAATTGAGACTGAAGAGATGCTGGATCAAAAAAATCTTCATCTTTTGTACTTCTTTTACTGACAGTATTATCAGTTTTAACTGCATCTGTATATTTATAAATGATTATACTATTGATACCATTTAGCAATAAGAACGCTATATACTTTGTTTCTTCATTTACCATCAGATAATTGTATTCGTGGTAATGAGATTTTTGCAAATTTTGTACTTTTGGATGAAGCCTGTTTACTTGAAGATGAGGATCTTCCAGGTGAACGTCTACTTGGAGATTTTTTACCAGATCTAGTTGGACTTTTTTTACCTAAAGAGCTTGATTTTGCTGTACTTCTAGACGGTCTACTGATCTAAAATTTAGAAGAGAAGATCTATAGAAGTTCTGAAATATGGAACTAATGAAAGATAAAGATTAATTATTCCAAAACATACCTTAACATCATTTGAATGAATAGTACGTTCATTGCCTGTTTCAAATTTTATCCTGTAAGAATCACCCCTCACACTTAATACCTTCCCCTTAAGAAATTCATCTGTACTTGGATGTCTAGCAAGTACTTCTGTTCCTTCTTCAAACTTCATTTTTATACCTGGAAAGCAGTAATTACTTTAAAAAAATGGTTACATAATAACTAAACATACGTATATAGATACAATTATTATTATGTAAATTGATTACATTGCATTTATATAAAATACTGAGAAAAAAGATTTTTACATGAAAAAAATTAATAGCGCGAAATAACACAAATATTGTTCCATGTTTCTATAATTGAATATTATCGTATATGCAACGAAAGCTGAATTAAGTTCTAACATATTGAAACACAAATAATACATTTCCATAACTTACATGCAGTTCCACTCAGGCAATAGCAATATCTTGTAATGAGATTCTGGCTGGTTTAAAAATAAGAGAGCTTCTAATCGTAAGGTTATAATTAACGCTTTTTTTTGCATCATAACACGAAGACGCGCACAAAATACGGTGTTCCGAGATGCATAAAATGCAGGCCACGCTGGATGCAACACAGGACGCGTGTATTATGATGCGTTTACAAGAAAACACACTTATACGAATGTTAAATTTTGCATAAATATTATACATAATTCGTAAAAATAAAAGAACTTAAACAGCGACGTAGAAATTTTGAATATTTAAAAAAAAATCTGTTGCAGCTATTAAAAAAACCAATCGTTATCACCAATCCGGGTGTTTGGATACGTTTGTGGGATGGAGATCTATATTTTTGTAATTTTTAGGTAATTTGAAATAAACGTATTTAAATAAATGTATAATTGAAGGTTTTCATAATATATGCAACGTTATATGACTCTTTAGTTGCACTAAATGTTAGTCGAAAGCAATTTCAAAATAAGCAATTACATGCTAAAAGGTACCATTAATACAATCGTTACATTTCTATGATTTTTTGAATTGTGACACGCTGGCATATGTAGCTTGCGTATTTTTTATAATATAGAATTTTATCTGTCTATACAGGCGACGATAATTCACACGATATGCAAGTGAAACCTTTCAAAATATTTTCAGTCTCATTAACTCGTTAAATACATATAAAAGAAATCATTCAAACCAGTATCAAAATTACATCGAATAACCATGGACACCGATGTAGACATAGACGAAACAAATCTAAAGGACGAAGAACAAGTTCTGGTATGTACATAAATAAATTTAATTTTCCCTCGATATTCAAACAATCGCTCATCGTTTGTATTGTGCTCTACGGATTTGCGCAAAATAAAAAGGCAGCCGGAAATGACGCCAAAGGAAATCCACTTCCTTGTAATTCAAACATATCGAAATCTTTTAGATTGCCGTGGAGAACACCTTGAGCACCGTCGAGGAAAGTATGTGCAAGTTTATAAAGGACGTTCCAGAGGCATTGGCCGCCTCTGGATTGGAAGTTAACCTAGAAAAACTAAACATAGACGATGGTAAAAAGATACTGCAGCTTCTTCATCCGTTTCCCAAATCGTTTACCGATCTTAAGGCGAATAAAGAAGGTTCGAGGACCAGCTATTTATCTTGTATCAAAAGTATGTCGCGTTTTATTTTAATTAACGTGTATTATAGAGGAGAAAGAAAAACTGTCAGCTCTGGAACGAGAGTGCGAGCAATTGCGTGGCCAATTGCAGCAACAAATCGATGGGAATAAAAGGGCACAAGAGGAAATAAAGTACCTGAGAGAACAAGTGACTTTAACGTTAACGTCTCTTCGCTTCCGTAAACGTTTATCGACGTTCGATGATCATTTTATTTTATTTAATTATCTTTTCTTTTTGTAGATATTAAATCAAAGTACATACTGCGCAAGCTTAGGGGCGGTTTTGAGCAACTTATCATGGCGCGCCTCTAGGTCTCCAGAGATTGTCGATGTTTGGCTTTCCGGGGTAAAAATACACGTTTTTCTCCTTCGAGCTTCTTCCACGAACAAAGAATCTCGCGCTAATTGGTCTGTTTACAGTTCCAGCACAAGATCGACGAATTATTATCGATAACGGACGGAAGTTTCGTTGCGTTCATGAACACTTATCGGGACGCGTTCCCTCCAACTTGCAACGTCGAATACGAGTTTATTAGCGGTTTACTAGGCATCGTGACGAATATCTCAGCCACTCCTGAGGGTAGGGAATTCTTAATCACCAACAGAAATGGCCGTGATTTCGTACAGAAGATGATCAAACTCATGCCCGCTTTGCCGGTTTCCCAGGGTTCCCTTTCTTTACAAAAGTGATTATATTGATATTAAGTCAATGCGTATGAAACGTTGCATTCCTATCACTTTCATTCTTTTACTTTTATTAGGTAAATTATTATTTATTTTTACTTCTAACTGTAACCTATAATTTCACAGGCTGATGTTAATGATATTCTATAACGTGAGCATGAACAAGACCGGTTTGCAGCATCTATTCGAGTCGCAGATATGGGAACCATTGAACTATTATCTGAGAAACAATTCGTTGCCGAGCAAACTGCAGCTGCTATGTCTGCGGATACTACTATTGATTACATACGATTTGACTAACCCGAAATATATTCAAAAGTTGACTACGACACTGCCGCTCGACCGAATAGAGGATATCGCAGCGTCGAACGACAACGGGATGAGCACCGTCGCGAAACAAGTGATAAAACATTTGCGAGACTCGCAGAAATTCCTAAGTTCCAATTAAAACACGCTACGTATTATTTAACGTTGATCGCCTGTAGTATTAACGTGCATATTAATTGAAAGTTGCTAAAGAGAAAAAAATCCCGTTGATGTAACGCGAATTACACGCATTGAACCGAACGAGGAACAGATAAATACTCGTATTCGTGGAATCGAGCGACGCGTTACATCGTTTCACGAATCGAACGGCTATCAAACATCATCGTATCCTTGAAAACGTGTTCGTGACTAGTCTCGGGAACTGTCGAATATCGATCTGCTTTAATGCAGCTACAAAATAAAAGCAATCGTGCGGAATGGCGTACGGAACAGTACGAAAATCGATTATGCATACAGTTAGGCGGTAAAACGTACATCGAGCGGATGAATATCTTTCTGACCGATTAAACTGATTATAAAGAAGTATCTTCTAATTGAATAAACACCAATCGTAGTTCGTTCGAGCGACAAGTCGATTGAAAATATAAATTGAATTTTTTTCTTTATACTTCGCGTTACATCGACAACATTAGAATACGTTTACAATACCAATTGTACGTACGGCTAATTAGTATGCACGATGCATTGATAGAAGGATGCGCTAGGAGGAACGTATGACAATGTGTCAGTCGAAATTTCATTGAGCATCGATGGCCTTCAACTTTGAAGGTTGCGTCAACGAACACCGCAGTATCGCGTTTCGAAGTTGCAACCCTAGCGTAAAACGTTCACGAGTGTGTACATTTTACACAATTGCAATGGTATCTATAGTCACGATGAACCTGCGATTGCAGCTATCTCTAAATTACCTGCTAGTTCCGAACAACCAGGTTAAACCATTAAGAACCTAGCATAGAAAAAATGACTTTCACGTGCATATAAGATTCTTTATTCTTTACAAAGTCACACGGTAAATCGATACGTAGTAGATCGATGAATATGCGGCAAATGATCTATCCCTACATGCTAAATAAATTATGCCCAGGATTCATTTTCCAGAAATGCATTTAACTCTTTCAACCTTTCACGTTAGATACGATGAAACGTAAAGGTGAAGGGTCAGATCTGATTCACGATAGTAATCCGCGTGCATATCTATTGTTCGAAAAAAAAAAGAAACAGCTTTTTATGGGAATAACAACGAACAGCAATCTGTACGTTTCATTATCCCGCATAAAGAGACGGAGAGAATTGGAAAGGATTGAGAGAAAGAAGGATAAGAAAAAATGTGCTAGGTATAGATGTATGTAATACCGACCAGCTATCTCGTCGATAATCGAGCTGCGCAAGCTCGTAGGGAAACGCCACGTGGGGGCGTGCGCGACAAGAGATCGCGCTTGCTCCCTTGTCGCGTTCGGTGTTGAGCGGCCGTGGCAACAAGGGTGAGGGTGGGGGGCACGCGTCGCGACGTCCGGCGTCGCGTAAACGGGAGATCACGGCAGGCAGGCAGGCAGGACCTAGGGAAGGCGACGGCCGGGCGGTCGTTTTATTGATCCCGGGGCGCCGCGGCGCTACCCACCCGCGGCGGGATCGTCTGCGAGAAAATTCTCTCCAACAGGATTTTCACGTTTTCTGTCGGCCGGTTGAACCGTGAATTACGCGAACAGAGTCTATTTTTTCCTCGTCAATTATTAAGGAAGAAATTGTACCGGGGAAGGAAGGAAGGTACTTGGAAACGTGGGTGGACTCGACCGTTGTGGGGTGCAAGCAACTTCTTCCTCGTCGTCGTCGTCGTCATCGTCGTCGAAGGTTCGAACGATCTGGGAATTGGTTTTAGTGGTGGCGGTCGTGTCGCGGCTGCACCGAATATATCGCAATAAGGAATATACCGGTAAGAAGAACGACCGGTGACGTAGGATCAACGTCTAACCGCAACGATCCGCGTATCCTTGCGGTCGGAAGATCGTTCGGGATCTTCGTTTCCTGTCGAAGGACCGATGGACTGAAAGAACGTGGTAGCGCCCGGAAGAAGCTGTCGTCGAGCAGCTCCAACTTCCAGGATTTCATGCAACGCCGATGGAGGGCTTATAGATTGAGAGGGGGCGCACCGGACCACCCTAACGAGGTGTCACCCGGCTGGTGATCGCGTCGATCTCGTGTCGTCCTTCGTCCACGGGGACGCGGACACCGGGATCGTTAGCTGTGGGTGTTTTCGATCAGTTTAAGACAGTGACAACCGAGCATCGAGTAGGCGCCGCGGCGCCGAAATGGGCCCCGCCAGTAGCCGCGAACAAATAGGGGAGCAGATCGGTGACGACGATGGCCTGCAAATTAAGACAAAACCTATGGTCAACAACATCGTAAGTTATTCTTACATCTTCTGTCCTTTTCCTATATTACTTCTCCTTTGCTCTGTTTCTAGTTCTCATTGTATGTACCTTATACATAAAGACACAGGAGGGATTCATCATGATACATAAAGATTGATAAAATTCAGGCGGGTGTGTGCACACGTGAAACGAGAGAACTCTATTTTCGTCATAAAACAGACACGTATTCGTGCATCTGCGCTAGAACTCCTTCAATGACGAAATACTCTGAATGTTTAATTTAGAAAACGTCTGCTCGGTTCCGAATTCCACGAAAGCTTGCGCGAACGGTACGGAAACTTTCGAAACCATCCGCGGTAGGATTCGCAAGTCGGCGTCGCGTAACGTGGTCGTTCATTGAGCACAGTGTACGTACAACTATTCGGCGATACGTTTATTAGTTGCCGGGTGATCTTCATCCAATTTCTTTGGAGATATCTTGTGCATACTTGTACAGTGGCACGCGGTTAGAACTTTGTACCTATCGATAGGATCGCTTTGCACGTTTTGTATGTCCCCGCGACTTCGCATCCATGAGTAATCTGTAGCGGAAGGAATACGGCCAGTCATCGTCTAACAAAGAAAAACAGTAAAGGAGAGGGAAATTTATAGAACAAAGAGAGAGAGAGACATCGAGCAAAACGCGACGATAGGACACGAAGAAGACTCGGCAAGGGAAATGGAGTGAGATGGAGATTTCATAGAGTGGGGAATCGGATGGACTCCACGTCCGCGATGCGATAAGTCAGCCGGTGGTTGAGCAGCGCGCATTTTCATATCGCTCGTTTCTTGTACCAGAGCTGGACGCTGTCCACTCAGGTGGCGCAAGTCCCGCCATCTCTCTTTTTCTCCCTTTCATTCGCTTTCTCACTCACCGCGAGGGTGTTCATCTTCATTCAGATATAGGACGTTCCGGTCAAACGTTGCCACCGTGCAATGTCGCCAAAAAATAAGGTATGTAACTACAAAAAATGTCTTACCATCGTTTATTGGGAAAATCTTGCAACGCTTGTGTCCATCTTCCATTTGTCCTTTGATCCATCGCACACGTTATTCCGTATATCTACAACGAATCAAGTTCTTCGTTACCAACGGCGGTCATAACTTAACTCCTCTGTCGTGTGCATAAATCCAATCGAATTTCATCGAAAACGATACATCGCCACGTGATTCGGTGTGATCTATCGCCACTTAGTGCCAGTTAGTCTCGTGCCTCTCTTTAGTTGGCGATAATCCATTTGAATCGATAGCAAAACGCCGATGACCGATCGGTGGGCGTGTGTTTTTTTTTTTTTTTATCGTCAGCCAGTGGAATTTTAACCGGCAATTCTCACAGTGCGGTGCACCTTTGGCAAACTTCACGCAACCGTCCCGAGTTCCGATCGCAGTTACGCGAGATACAAAGGTAAAATGGCAAAATACACGAACGAAAACGAGTTAATCACGAAACGCATGAGTGAAAGTGGTCTGAGTGCAGTCTGGTCGACGGTAGTGATGATAATGCATTGCTCGCAAACAGAGCCGCCCCTAGCGTTATGCAAACCGAGCACTTGCGTATCGTTTATTAGTAGTCACTTCATACTTTTATTAGAACAGATTTTAAGGTTATCCGTTTACGATTAGATGTTTGCAATAATGTCGGCCTTTGCACACGAGCCTCGCAAATTCCAGGGACATCTCTCTTTGCGAATATCCCACTAACAGCGCTGCAAATGGCACATTCAGTGTATAAAATTTCACTGAAAAATAATCGTCTATCATTTGGGTGGAGTTACGGATATTCGTACCTCGTTTCACGACGAATGCCATATCACGTGCCAGTTTACAATCGTTTGGTGTCGAGCCACGGATTATGATGTACTTTATTACGTGCGAACGTCTTATCTTTTTGAGTGTTTGTTGAATTTGTTATCGTTCTGTATCGATGTCGAGTACGTATTCCTTTTATCCCCGGGCTATTCGATCGGCTAATGTTTAAATCGTAGGTACTAATGTGTGTCCATGGTTTCAATTTGACCGCCTTTTCGAAGGTCTCCTCGTTTCAAAGCGCGGGGCGCAAGTAGATTAACCTCGCCATTTCGTAGACGAATTTTGAACATATAACCTCCACCGCGAGGTGTAATTAACGAGATTGTAGAGACGAATCTCTGTGATAACGGTAGAACAAATACACGATTAATCATTGTGATTACAAGCAACAGTAAATTTTCATAATTCTCTCGGATATCGATTAGCTTCGATTAGGAGGCTCGTGTTCGTATCCCTATTCGATATCAGCGATATATCGATAATTCTTTTTCGAGCGCATCGGCAGCTCTTCTGCCATCTTTAATCTATCCAATAAAATTTTTCCAAAGTTTATCGCGATCTATGAAGTATGTACGCGCGAAAAGGAGAGAAGAAATATCATCGTTGTGGTAATTCAAATAGGGTTATGATAATTCGTAGCGCATACTCAGATAATATATGATTCATCGATATTACAGGAACGTTGCTCTTCCTTTCTGTCATTGTATGCACTACTTGTTTATCGCGCGCTTCTAATATCTTGCGTCCTAAGCAAACTGGGACAAACGAAGAAGAGGCTAACGTCGCCGTCGTAAACAATGCCCCGTTGCGATTCAGGAAAATATCGCCGCGATCCGGCTCGTTTATATTTTCTGAGTCATTTGAACGTGGCATCGCTAGCTGACGTTTCCAAGAAAACAAGAACCAGATGTTCCCGTGATTATTGCAAATTGCTGATCATGTTTATGTATCTTCGCGCGTCAGAAAATTCTCAAGGAAAACACTGGAAAATGATGAATAAAAAATCCACAAATTTATCAAATATCATGTATCAACTCTCTGCCGCATTTTTCGGATATTTTACTACTGTGCGGGATTTGGTTTGCCCGTAGTTATCTACAGGCTTTGGTTACCGAGTACCGCCGCCGGATCAAGACGAAAAAACAAACAATGTTTCGTCAATTGAATTGAATTTGCGATGTGCGTTACTTGTTGGCATCTAGCTATTAACTTTTCCACGGAGATGAGAAGCAGATGGTGTTTTTCATGTGGCTCGTATGCGTTGAACGTTAATTGCCGCTGGTTATTATCTAATTAATTCATAAGCGTCGTTGAATACAACAGACGAGTATCGTGGAACACAGTGTTGCAGAGTGGGTCTCGTGTGATCGACGTTACGTACAGTGGTACCATTCTCCTTCCGTACTTACCACTATCCCTTTTATCGTTATGATTCTTCCTTCGACTGTTTCCATCACTGTTACACGACCCGAGATCATCTTCAGAATGTTTGCTTAGTACCCCCCTCCTTGGTTACGTTCCTCGTCACCACTGTTCGTCGCGGTAATTCGATCGTTGGTGATTTTCGTTGAGAGACGGCCATCGTCGTAGATCGGCTATCGATTAACCGCGATTCCATGTATCGTTGGTAATCTCGATAATACGATATTTTCGATATAAGCTCGTTTCTCGCATGCGAGATCAATTTCATGGTGGTGTAAGCATCGACTTAGATTATTAGTGGTCGCGTCACGCTAAGGTATGGCTACTTTTCGATACACGTTCTTCATTCCTCGAGAATTATTCGATTGTTCGATCTCGAACGTGACATATCGATGCCACCTAACACCGTTACAGTGGGAACTGTCACTTTCATCGTAAAGCACAAGCGTTGCCAGCAAATATTTGCTGACCGAGGTAACGTTTCGAAACGGCTAACTCTAAAAATTGCATAAACTTTCGTGGTTCGAGGTGGACTCGACTATACTCTGGGTGTCTTTAGAAAAAATTAAAAAAAAAAAAATCTGACGCGTATATGTACAGCAGATTAAATGGCTAACGCAGAACAACGTATCGATACATTGAACGTAAGTTCAAGCTCTTGCTTCGTTAAATAAATAACTTGCCGATTTGTGCACTGCTACCGACGGTCAACATGAATCATCCACGCTGAACAGAGCCGAGTGACATTGAGCTGCATCGTGTCGGTCACTCGAATGTAATTTCTTCTATAAAAGTAACCCTTTCGATATGCGCGAGAACGACGGAACGATTTTTGGCCTTGCGGGTAGCGCAATGTCACGGAGCTACTTATTTTTGTGCTCTTGTTGCTTGACGATGCCTGATACCGCTTTTCAAATAAAATGAAACGGCGAATAGCTACTCCTCGCTTGTTCACGATTTAATTTTAACTTACATCATTGTCGTTACACCCAATCGATTTGAACGTTCGAAATTCTTTAAAATTTAAATGGGCTCAACTAAGCCACTCGCGCGATCGCATATTTTTTTAACGATACTATCTAGAAACGTAATGTTCAATTTATAGCCGGTCTTGAAAATTTCATGTTTCAGCTTTTTTCTCGGTATGTTTTAACACTTTTTTTACGATGTTTATACGAAAAACGAGGGCAAAAAGCGCGAAAAAAAGCGGTCGAACTGTTTACATCATTGTTCGAGCTTCTTTAATACTTATAGCTTTCGTTTATGTAACACACATTGGTAAGGTCACAAATCATTTTAAAACGAATCACTTGGTACCGAGATCTTTTACATGTTGCATGAAATTGCCGAAACGGTTGCTGAATTTCCCAAACGGATATGTCTGTCTTTCTTTCATTGTCTCTTGTTCGGCTGTCTTTGTTCGAACATGCATTTTTCTCTTCTATGAAAATGAATTTAAAAAAAGAAGGATAAAATGGTGTTCGCTTAAAAATTCAAGGCGTCTTTCGGAACCATGAACGATGCAAATTCGCGTATCGTCTGGACGTCTCGCGCCACGTAATTGTGACAGGGTGGGGACGCGTGTGCGACGCTTCGCATTTATAGGTTAACTTTTCGCGCACAGGCGATCAGTGCCGCTTCAACGAGGGCTCTGGGCTCTCTCGTTGTCGCAGGGGATTCTTTTGTTCGGCAAGTACTTAAATTCCCATCAACAGCCGTGTAAAATTCAGTCGTTCGTGCACTTGAAATCCATCCAAAAAGCGAACTCGATCAAAACCTTAACAGTGCATTTCGTTCTCGATCGCCAAATAAAGTGGTCGTACGTATTATTGACACATCGTCTTGTGCGTGCTGTTCCATTCCTTTGAATTATCGTACGCATTGCACAAAAATCATTTTCAAACACGATGACAGAAGAAAGAACGTTTCACGCGTGAAGGCATAAAGTTATTTCGTTCGAGGAGGTTCGAAGAAGAGAAGACTATACTACTACGGGTGTTCGTATTATAAATAGAATCTTCGTAGCGCGTAGTGATACACACAAGATATTCAGTAGAACAGGCAATCGTTTATGCCGGCAAAACTTGTCATGACAATCAACGTCTGTTGTCGCATTATTTCACGAGGTGTGCAGTGTTCGCGTGCATCCTCCACGATGTCTCGTGGTTGAATCTCGTCGATGACCTGAACTCTGGGAAGCGTCGTTGCGTGTACGTGCATCGTAGTCCCCGTGTTTGTAATACAAAGGAAGAAGAAGAGAACGTTTGCTCGATCCTTCGGTAGAGCTCTGTACTTCTCACTGGTTTTTTCGCATTTGGTGTCGTTGATCGTTGATTCGCATAAGGCGGTTGAGCGCGTGATGGCAGAGCGGTATAGAAGGCTGCTGACACGAGGCGCGCGAGTGTGTGCGAGAGATGGCAGCGGATTTTGATGAGTGCGACACGACTCCTGTTTAATTGCAACAGGGGGGAGTTTTAAAAAACTCGCAGAAGTTGCGTAGCGTAGCGAACCTTGTGGGATACAGTCACGGAAAGAAAGAACATACAGCGCGCAGCTGCGCGCAACTTCAACGAAAATAGAACTCTGCACACAGTGTGTGTGGAGGCCAACGACGGAACGAGCGAAGTGTGACATTAAGGCGATTGTAGAATGTCGCGCGTGTCGCTCAACAAGTCGCAGTACAGCCAATACGGCTCGCGTCGCGTGCGGAAGATCAGCACGGTACGTTACGAAAATTTGGTAACCCGCGTGCGTTGTATGCATCACCCTCGATCCTTTCATTCTTCGACGAGATCGATCTATAAGTACTTGGTTTCACGCATTTTACGAAGCGCTGTAGTCCGTTTCGTTTGTCGCTCGGGGACGACACGTGACTCAGCCTTGTCAGTTAATGTAATTTACACTTTCGAACAGAAGTTTACGACGAACCTGAGAAACGAGTACGGTCCCACACCATGCGCGCATACGTATACATCCTCCGTACACCCGTGGTATCACTGCATGCCAGTGTGCACGATTTTCATCCGTCGCGAATGTGACACCGACCGCCACGAAAACAAGGTCGAAAACAATACCTCTGATTGAGCTTCCTTCGCCTTGGCGTTAGGTGGCGCACGTCTTGCCGATTCTAATGACAAGTGGATCAGCTGATCGGGCTGACCTTCCATTCGGCTAAGTCACTATCGCGCCCACCAATGATGCATTCGTATGGGTTATCGTTACATTTAAATTCGTTAATGTGTCGACAGTCCTCTAGGTCATTGTATAGAATCCCTTTGTTTGTTCGAAATGTCTGCTAAACAAGTCCCTCACAAACCTTTCCTTTCAGTAATCTTACCGAACATCTCCGAAGCAGAAGACCAATAAAATTTGACTATTCGTTTTTGTTTTTTAATCGGAAAGGAGCGAGAGGAGCGACTCTGATCTTTTTAATCAGAGTCCTTTTATCGCGTGATCAATGTCGTTTCCAATTTATTAGATTCAGTGGAAATACCACTTACCTTGGATAAAACATAGCCTTAGGGACTAGTTAAGTCACAGTAGCCATATAGCACATATGCGCTTGCGTTAGCGTTATAAGATCATCTTATAATACGGCCCGGTCGTTCGTTCTCACATTACGTTTAGGAAAGCATCTTTCTTAATAACGTTTTCATATATCCAGTTAGTTTTTATAGCATTCATTTATGAAATTTTTCATTTGCTACTATAAAAAGTTCATAATAATATGCTAATGCATAGAGACTTGCTTGAGCATGCAAGATTCTTTGAAATCTCTAAGGATTCTCATCTGGTAATCTGTTAATCAATCTTCAATGTTGTGTAGCGAGCAATGATATGTCTATGTATTTATGCATTGGCATGAAAGGAAGCTTTTTCTTGCAGCATTCAAGGTGAACTGCCACTAGTTTACTCAAGGCAAATACAAATATCAATGTTACAATGGAACAACATCTTGAAAAGCTTTCATTCAAACTTTGTAGTAATGATGAATCCCTCGTTCATTGTTCATTTCTTCTATAATATTGTCACTTCAACTGACAAAATAATTCAATTTGTCCACTTCTCTATGCACTAAGATTATCATGTTCAAGTAATTTATAGAAATGTGTACATCTTTTTATAGACGGAAAGCGAGTATTCTGTAGAAGAACATGCAAGATTAACAACTACAGATGGACCAGGTGATGAAACATCTCCAGACGATGAAGGGGGGTCACTATGCGAATACCATGACATACCTCCTCCACCTGATGGTGGATATGGATGGGTTGTGGTATTTGCATCATTCATGTGTAACATGATAGTAGATGGTATTGCCTATACATTTGGTGTTTTTCTGGGAGAATTTGTTAAATATTTTGGAGAAGGAAAAGGAAAAGCTGCATGGGTTGGTTCATTATTATCTGGCATGTACCTCAGTGCTGGTAAATGTCCTCTTTATAGATGCTGTTATTTATCTTGAAGTGTAAATGACACCTTAGTTTTAACAGATTTTCATTTCTTACAGGACCTGTTGTCAGTGCTTTAACAAATAAATACGGATGTAGAGCAGTATGTATGGCTGGAAGTTTTTTAGGTGCAGCAGCATTTGTACTTTCAACATTTTCAACCAGTATAAATATGCTTATGCTGACTTATGGTGTTATGGGAGGTGTGCAGAATAAATCTGAACACTGTTTATTTTACTATATTCTCAGCACTAGTTTCTAATCATACTGTATCTTTTAGGAATTGGATTTGGTCTAATATATTTGCCAGCAGTAGTATGTGTAGGTTATTATTTTGAAACCAAAAGATCTTTAGCTACAGGCATTGCTGTATGTGGTTCAGGATTTGGTACATTTGCATTTGCACCTCTTGCAACAATGTTACTAGAAACATATAACTGGAAAGGAGCAAACTTGATCCTTGCTGGCCTTATTTTGCATTGTGCTGTAAGTGCCTTATAAAGTACTTGTAATATCAACAGCACGATATTTATCTAAATCTTCTTAAACATTTTAGACAGATGATTATATACATTATGATAACAATAGTCCAATTTCAGGTGTTTGGTGCAATGATGAGACCACTAGAATACCCAAAAGCTTCTTCTGTTAAACCACTGTTACAAAGAATGGCAGAAGAAAAAAGATTTCAAATGGAACGTGGGAGTATCGGTGGTTCTTATTTTATGGTACAATTGCCAGATGGATCAATGGAGAAAAGAATGAAGATGCCTATTAATATTGATCCTGGTGTCCACTCCAGTTTCAATTTAGACCAACTAGTGCCTGGTAAGAATGTTTCTATTTAATTTAAAGAAAAACGCATATCTAAATAAGTTCTTTTAAAATTATATTGTATTCGATCATAATATTCAAGGAACTCCTTTAACACCAGTTCCAACGGTACCAACCCTCCCCACTATATCGGAAGTGAAAGTACAAGAACACTCTTCTAGTGGAGCAACCAGTAACAGTGGTAGTATGGATTTAAAGAGCATTTCCACTAAATCGAAGAGTAAAAGGAATATTGACGATACCAAAGAAACAAAAGATGCATCAGAAAAGGCTGAAAGTGAATTTAAACCAATTATTCCTAGGAACGCTTCACAGCCCGCTTTCACAACTCATGTACAAGGTTTACCGAAGAATGGTTCTGTGCCATTTTTTGATAGAATTCGTAAAACTAGCACCGGTGAGAGATATAAGCCAAGTCTCAGCGCAATTAAGAATTCTAGAACGACATTGAATTCAAACGGCGATATCCGAAAAAGCTTACATTTGAGACTTTCTACAAGCAGTGTCATGGGCTCCCGAAATAACAATGCGGAAGTGGATGTATGTTATCATCATCATTCTTCTTTTTCAAATGTATGATTATATTATATAATACCGGATTGATAATGTGTCTTACAGGATGGCGAGAGTATTACTTTTACGACTAGCAAATCAAGTATCCCAAAGGAGAAACCACAAATAATTCGGCCATTATCTAGAAAGGATATTTTTTATAGTGGCAGTGTACTTAATTTACCAGAATATCAAAGTCAAAAATCTTTGGCGAATTATCGCCAAAGTGTTATTTCCCTACCAAAATCCGTTCGCGGAGATACTAAAGACACTGATGTTGAAAAGGCGCCTCAACGTAAGTAATTTCTTTTAAGGTAGATAGTGGTAGAACTTACGAATTTCTATTCAAATATCATAAATATTCCAGAACCATTATGTCCTTGTTTGGTGCTACCTGACTCGTTTAAGGAAGCCTTGGCAACGATGATGGACGTATCTCTATTGAAAGATCCAGTGTTTCTGTTAATTGGTATTAGTAATGTGTTTGGAATGGCTGGATTGTATGTCCCCTTTTTTTACTTGGTAGATGCTGCAGTTTTAGATGTAAGTTCAACCGCATCATAAATCTTTCACAAGATATAGTTTCTTATACATTTCATTTTTTAATATTTATCGTTTCTTTCAGGGAATTGAGAGCAATTCTGCATCGTTTTTATTATCTATAATTGGCATTACCAACACTGTGGGTCGTGTGGCTTGTGGATATATCGCAGACTTTCCACAAGTGGACTCATTGTTGTTGAATAATATCTGTTTAATTATATCGACACTTGCTGTTGCTGCAACTCCATTTTGTCATTCTTATCCTGCTTACATCGTTATGAGTATATTTTTCGGCATAGCTATATGTGAGTGTCCTGATTTTATTACCCGTCGTGTGTTCCATTCTAATTCAGCAGTTATAAAGAGTTATAAATTTAATTTTTCAGCTGGATACATTTCGTTGACATCAATTATTTTAGTAGATTTATTGGGACTGGACAAATTGACAAATGCATTTGGCCTTTTAATTTTATTCAGAGGTGCTGCCGCTATTATTGGTTCGCCTTTGGCAGGTGCTGTTTTCGATGCGACAAAAACCTATAGCATCCCATTCTTTATGGCAGGATTTTTCTTCTTAATGAGCACTATAACCAGTTTCATGGCTCCAGCAATGAAACGGTGCACGACGCCGCAGGTACACAGATTTAACAATTCTCAAGTGTACGATAAAAATTTTGTAATTTGTAGCGTTTTAAAAGTAATGAATAAAATTTGTTACAGACTCAGCCTGTGATATTAGATACGTTGACTCCAATTGACGAAGATATTGAAGAAGAGAACGAGGAAGATATTCCTGAAATCGTAGAAACTGCGCCATCCCCACAGGAACCACCTGAAAAAGAAATTAAACAAATAGAGTCTGTTCTATAAGGCTGGTTCGCTTAAAGAAAAATAAAATAGCCTTCACCTCCGAGCCACACTGTGATAGGGCTGCTGCTTTGAGAAGGTCTGAAAAAAAGGTACTTTTTCGTTATAAATTTTAATGGATAAAGCACAAATTACTATGTATCACCTGATGGTATTTTTGACGTACTTAGAATTTTTGCAATTGTATCTAATTTTTTTTATGAAACTAATATATGTATATATATATATACATACATACACTGTGAAAAATGCCATCAGGTGTGCAAAATTTCATTTGCCTATGTCAATAGTAGATCATAGATAGAAGAATTTATTAACTTAATCAGTATAGATTGATCAGTATAAAAAAACGTTGAAAAAAAGAAAAAAAAATGCTTTTTGCACTTACATATCGAGTACTCTTGAAAAAGGAAAAAGAAATATTAATCTTTATCATAGGTGATATAAATATACTTATGATTTAGAATAAGGATGGTCAATCTAACATTCTACAACTGGCTCTCTTTTTACCTATGTTTTTTCATTACTACCACGTTCTAAGAGTATTTTTAGTCAATTGTGTTTTTGAAGGTACGATTTATGTATCTGGAAACAACGAAAACACTTCGCTATAATTATGTTCATTTCTCCTAAACTGTTTGTGTTGATATCAAGTTCAATTTGAGATTGTACGCGTGGCCAACGTCTTTCACGATCGACCATCCTTAATCGAGAACACCCCACCTATAACTCGTTACTTAAATCTATTTTTGGTCGCAACCCAAAGATACAATTCCAATTGATTACATTCAGAGAGATATTTTTCTTGCATATACGATAAATGTACATACATTATATAGGTAAAAAGAATGTGGAGTAGGTTACATATACATATAAATAGATGATTCGTTGTCGCGAGAAAAAGAATTGTAAATAATATATAGGCAATTGTAAAATAGTGTATAACAAAGAAATTTCGAAATTAGACAGATAGAATGATTTCTGTTTTATGGAACCCTCGTTTACCGGAAGTTGGTTCCTGTATTAATATATTGATTATATGAACAATTAATACGCTCGTAGGTAGAGACTATATAATTAATATATTAACGATTCAGCTAGAGAACGTTACGTTTCACTGAATGTATAAAAAAGAAAAGGAACGTCTCGTCCGATGTATCTAGTTTGTGTAAATTAATCCCAATTAATTAACTAGAATTGACTGTCGGCAAGATGCGATACGATTCGAGGCACATTAATTAACACAAACTAATTCTTGACTAAATATATACGTGTTTATTGCAACACGAGTCCCCAGCGAAATAAAAGAGTTTTATCGTGTCACCATGTACCGTGTAAGTAATAAAATGAATACCGAATAATCGCGAATAGAAAGCGAGAGAGAAAACGTTAATTCGATTATATATTATAATACTTTTTATTTACGAACGCATACGCGCCTATGATTCGTATAACTATATAAATCTGTATTCGATTAATACAGATTTATATATTTATATTCATTTATATATAAATATATACACATAACGAGGAAAAAAGGAGAATAATTGTAAAAAAAAATCTTGTTGAACGGCATACAACAAATGTTATAAATTGTATGTACACATTGTATATACGGTGATTTAACTGGAAACGTTTATCGACACGCGATCGTACACTATCTACTCTGAAGATAAAAAAGTGAAGAAAGGAGGAACCGTGATGCTGTCGATAAAGAAAACAAAAACGAAAAAAAAAAAGAAGAAATACCAACAGTGCTATTATCAATCACTGCTGCTGCTATCACTATTACCACTATTATTATTACTACTACGCTACGCATTATTAATTAGTACAACTATTACAAACACTTATTTTTAATTCTCATAATTGTCATACAAGAGAATGTTTTTTTTCTGTTTCGTGGTTTAAATCGAACATAATTGTATACATGCCTACCCAAGCCGAATGTGTGTAAGTACGTGTGCACGCGTGTCGCCGCCAGCAAATCTTGCAATTACATTTACCATTAATAGACTATATACATATAAATATTATCGATGCGCGTGCCATGTGGCATTCCGCGCATGCGCATGGTTTACTTCGTATGTATGCATGTGGGGTTTGGCGGGAAGTACTGGGACAGGGGGATACAGACAGGAATCTAGTTAAAAGGATACGCGAAATATGTACGCATAATACAAGGCATACACGCGTACGAGGCGTGTAACACACACGTGCACACGACTTAATCTTGTGCATACGTTTAAACTAAAAAAATAAATAAAAAAAAAAAAGTGAAGTATATGTATGCTATGGTACAAAGAAGGACAAATTGTATTAGGTAACGTTTATTGAAACTGAAGAGGAATTATGAATTTTTATTACTGAAACACTGCGTTGACTTGTTTATTTATTAGTATTATGTATCTTCCCTATATACTCCCGCTTTCTTTCGATCGTTCATCTCGGCTTACACACTGTTTAACCAACATCGTATGTAAGTTACACGAATGGGCAGTAAATGATTAGCAATAAAACACTGTAATATGTGAAGCAGTTTGCATTATTGTCATGCTGGTTCTGATCGTAAATGATGCTTATCATTATCGAATCTCTTTCGTTCAATAAAATATACGAAATAGTTATAACGGTAAAATGTCAAGTATCAAGGAGAGTGAAAGGCTAAGCAAACGCGCCGAAAAATTTGCACGCATGCGTGTCGTAAGCACGGTGTGGTCGCGTTTAAAAAAGATATTTCTCACCTTTTTAATCGGTCGACGGTATCCTTCTGGTATCGTGGCACGTGCTAGCGTGACTGCTCTCTCGCGTCGTCTCCTCGTAGATCGTCATCGTGGTTTTCCACCTCCCTTTGTCATAAACGAACGGTATATACCGAGGAGTTCGTCGCGCGATAGGCGTATATTCTTGGCGCGACCTACCTTAAGTGTAAACTTGCACTTTCGTTTAAGCGCCACCGTGCAACAGGAGGGGCGAAGCACAGAAAACAGAAGGAAGGTTTGGTGGAACACACCGTCACCATTACGTCGCGCGATAATTCCAAGTGGTTCGTCGTTATTAGTCGCGATGTGTTACCTCGTGCTTTTCCAGTGGTAGTAGCGGTAGTTTGCCGCCTTCGTTTTTAGTCTCATTCTCTCACTAACTCCGCTCGTCTTCTCGTTCCCTCTCTGTCTATCCGGTGTATCTCGAACATCGACTTCCGTTGATTTTCATGGCACTCGCCCTCTGTTGGTTCAGTTTTTTCGGACGAAGCGGACGACACCAAGCTGCAAGTGTGAAAACGACGATCATGACGCATACGTGAGTGCATTTAGGTACAGGCTTTTTTCCACGGGGTTCGGTGTGAAGTTGTCGACGCGTATTGACCAATCATCGGTAAAAAGAGGAGCGTCAGCCGAAAATAGATTCCTGCAAATGAAAGTTATCGCGCGGATTCTATCGTTTGGACATGAGATCATATCAATCGATCTAGAACGGTCGAAGGAGATGCTCTACCATTGATACAAGGACGCGTAAATGTATTCTTAGGTAAATCAACGCGAATGAAGCAAAAAGAGAGTTGCGATGTATTTCTGTGTGGCGCAAGTTCACGCCGCGCGACGCGAAGTCGCGTTTCGTGCACGTGTAATCGAGCACGCCGCTCCATAAAACGCGGGAATTAGTGAAGTTGAAACATGCAAATCGATTCGAGTGGTTTACACGGAACCAGTTTGTTTTATTAATCAACTAATTTTCACGAGTTCACGTTACATTTCAGAAGAAATGTTACGTTTAAGGTGCGATTAAACGTTACCTCGCCGCAGTTCGAACGCGTATAATTAACATGTTCTCGATCGTAACGTGGCATGGAACACATTCATAACGTTGCAACTACGGAATTGGAAGGGGCAAGGACGTTTCTAACCTCCCATTAAGATTAGTGGATCGTTATCGATATAAGATGACCATCTGTGTCTAACTGTTTCGACGATAACAAACCTTCTTTCCATCGTTACGTCATCGAGCTGGTTATCACGGTGTCGTGGTTGGAAACGTCGAAAACGGGTTGTCAAGTGGTCGTACAATCTCCGCTGAAACGGGTTATCGGGTAATCGCCTCCAGACTCCTTATCGTCGATCGACGGAATTCGTGGCGCGCATGTCGTGCATACGCACGGCTCGTTAACGTTTCACGCGTAACCGTTCGACTCGATCGTAGGTGTTTACCCGTCGATTTCGATTCTCGATCGAGCCAAGTGAATCGCGTCCTCGACTCGTATCGACTCGCATCGATCTCGATCCGATGTGTCGTGTTATCGCGTACCACGGTAGACGATCAATGATCGATCGACGTCAAGTGAATTTCAATCGATTCGTTCCACCGGATACTTTCGAACTTCACAGTGCGCTAGGCGAGAAAAGCGCGGGATATCGATCAGCGAAAGATCCATATCGATTCACGGCTGATTCTCAGGCGCCTTCGAATTCCACATAATCGTCGCTTTCTACGCCTGTTATGTCACGCGTAGCGCCGCCACGGGATCCTCTGGCGTGGCGAGTAGGAGCGTGTATCCAACGGGACGATCCTCTCCGCTCGGTACGGACCAATCTGGCATTCGGTCGTTATCGGTGACCGATGGAAGCCGTGCACACCCGACGGGACACGCTGATCGCGCAGCTAATTCTCTGGCACATCGCGCGTACCGTCTTAGTACAAGCGCATCACGCGACCACGAACACGCGTGGCTTCCGTTGCTGTCTTCTTTTTACCTCGTGCCCGGTCCCTGGAATTTTGGTAGTCTGTGACGGTGGCTTCACGACGAAAGGTAATCAAGCAACGTAAACGACTTTAACGTATATCGTGGTAAACCGGACGCGTGTCTCGTCACGTTGTGCATAACACTGTGGCGTTAAAAGTGTTAAAAGTTCACGCGGTGTATGTGTGCGCGTGCCGTGTGTACGTAAGTATTCACGTGTACTAACGCGTTTCGTATGCTACGAGAGCTAGCGCGCATTTCCCGCCTTTCAGGTCAGCGCATGCGCACTTGGCCGCGTCCCTTTGCACGTGGTTAGCGACACACGTGCGCCTTTTTTACGGGTTCACGATGCCTAGGAGGGATGCGAAAGCGCATCAATCGCAAGAAATAAATGAGTATTTCACGGATGCGCATAAATTCAGCCGCTTATCGCTCGATTCCTCGAGTCTATCAATAAGAATTGAGCAAGACAGCTGTGTTTTTTTTTTCTACTCGCCGACCGGTGACGCTTATCCCGCGATATCATTGACGTTCGACGACGAAACAACACAGATTTCCGAAATTTCCATTCAGTTCGAGCGCGGTCGCGAGCGTGCACGGAACTTGCCTAAGTCGATTGGAATATTAATTGCGAATCGGTAATGAGCCTTCCGACCTTGCTCTGTCAATAATACGCGCTAGTGGAAGACTCTTTGTACTTTTTTCCCGAATTTCTTTTCTACTCGTTCCTACGGCTAGAATGAATTTGAAAGTCAATCGACTGGTTTATCGTAGCTTGTCTCCTCCCACGACTGAGACAGATGGAGGTAAGAGGAAAAACATGAACAATAATTGCTGTCCGCGTCCTCGCCAGGCAAGAGCAAGATTATAGCGAGGCTACAACGTCGACAAAACATTTCTTGAATCTTCGAAACGCCATCCCGAACGTTTCTCGTCCCTCGACCAAGCCTCTTTTCTTCTTTAAAAGTCCTTCGTGGAAAAACGTGTAATAGCCACGTGTTAACACTTGGAAAACAGATCTCCGGCTTCATTTTTCTGACCTGCGGAAACTCGCCGCCCGGGTGAACAATGGAGCGAACGAGGGCCGAGATGAAGCTGAGGCGGTCGAGTGGGCAACAAACAGAGGGATCGCGGGTTTATTGGCCTGTTTACAGCTATTTCTGAAACTCTCGCGTCTGCTGATTCAGCGCCTCCAATGTTGGTAAATAAATGCACAAGAAATCAGAGGAGATAAGTTCTGTCGAACTTTGGCCTCGGCACGTGGTCTCGTTTCCCTCCCGCGACTCATAAGGGACGTAGGATTGATTATGCCGCTTTTGACGATCCTGTTTACTCATTCACGTTCACGAACAGAGGGAAACGAGGGACTGGACCGTCCTAATAAATTCTTCGAGAGAGGGCAATAACGCGTGGAATTCAATAAGGGTACCCTACCTCGGTACTCCCGATGAAATTGATCGTTTCGCGATTTTTCGATCGAGATCGACCCGTCTATGATCCATTTTGAGGGGTTATTTGATGCTTTGAATGATGAAGAATTTGAAGGGTCAATCTATATTTTGAGGAGGAGGCTAATCCCACCCCTGTTGAGCCACCATTTGCTTTCAATTTTCAGAGATCTAGGAATAAAATTTAAAAATTCACGAATTGTTCATGGAACTCGATAGACCTGTTGCTTCTATTGCCTATACACTGTAAATTATTGGAGTTTCTACTGGTACATGCAGTGTACTCAAAATATAGCACTCGATGGTACACGTTTATCAAATTTCATACGTGGCTGGTTTCTCGATTGATCGGTGATCAATAACAAGTGAAGATTATGAATTGTGAAGAACTGTTTTCGACAGATAGGTAGATAACGATGCTACTAATTATGATATCGTCGAACTCGTGAGGAGTGATTAAAGATCGTCTGAAAAAAGAATCAGGATTTTAGAAAAATAGCCTTTCGAAATTGTTAAATAATTAATCAATTATTCGAGGTTATATTATTTTTCAATGTAATCAGGATTCATTTTTACCCACTAAATCTATCTCTGAAATATGTTACATCCTGTACACAAGATGATAAATCAAATATTTTATTAGACGATTGTTCGAGAGTACTTACACTTATCAGGAATCAATCAATATCAAAGATGTTTCGTTAGCGATTAAAGAAGGTAATTCGACTTATTTACAAGATTTCTTGTCGTAGATAAACAGGTCTATCGTGATCGTTACTGTAACCACTTTTCAGTCAGGTCGATTGGTTGAAGATCAGGCAAATATTGCCGCTCCTGCTGCTGTTTATGAGGTCGAAGTCGATTTTCAACATTCACAAGCTACCAGATTGAGAGAAGTAGTACGTTTCAATATTTATTCGGCTCGATATCGAGAAGCAAGCATAATTTTCCATTCGACTATTGTTCCAAGTGTTGGACGAGCGGCGATAAAGCAACGAAACCAAGTGTTTCTTCATACCTCCGTCTATCGTGGTCCTATCAGCGAAATCCTCGAACCTACCAGTTCCGAGCGAAAAATTATCGAAGATAATTGGCGTAAAAATAAATTTCGTTAATAATAACAGTCGAAACAGCGACCTCGTTTACGCTGATTCGTTTTTTTTGTAAGCGAAAGCAATAAATTAGATGAGACAAGTGTAAGTTTAAGTAACCGGGACGTTTGATGATATATTCTTAATTTTCTTCCACTTTTTTTGGTAATTAGCTTTGGAATGTCGAAATTCATCGCTAAAAATATCATCGTAAACGGGTAGGATTCTGTGATCAATGTTTTATCTTTTTAAATTCACGAAATGAGTTAGATAAGGTTTTTTGATGCTTTGTTTCCGTTGAGAAGAGCAACGCGACTACATGATTGCTTCTCGTCTTTGCTCGGTATCAATTAAAGCGAATAAAGTTGCATGAAAATTCAATTGAAAACCTGACAATTTTCCAATTAAACTCAATACGACCGGTTAAATCGAATTGAACGAGCCGCCCCATAACGAGCGCCTCTTTCCCGCTATCAAAACGGACAGTTTGTTTCCGTGGCGTTTCCAGGAAGACGCGATGAATAACATGCCGCGAAGACAAGTTCCTCCTCGTTTGTTACGTGTGAACCGATCCTCCCTTCGGTTGACACGAGGACGTTTACTCCTCTTCGTGACTACAACTAACGCGCTGATTATTATAATTGTTAATTGCAGTAATTTCTTGAGAAACGCCGTGGATCACGCGGCATATCACGAGATTTCTTAAAATGGCACTTGGAACTAAGTAATATTGAAATAGAAATTTTCTAATTTTTTAGAATTAATTTTTCTATTTTATTTGCGGTGTGTTACCGGTGACCCACGCAACATGGCTCACGTTCATTACCAAAAATGATAACTACAATAAAAGTAGCTTTGTTTATAAAGAGGAAATCGATCATTCGCGAAGACTGCGATCAGCAACTCTCGATGGACAAAATTCCATTGGTCATCATTAACTGGCGATTATTTCTTCTGGAGGAACGATCAAACGCGGCTCGATTGATCGTTTCGCGTTCATCATGTTCGCCTCGTTTCGTTATCGTGTTCGTTATCATCGGAGAAAGAGGAGAGTAGAAATGAAAGCAGACGCGTTTTGGTATCGAGCCAGAAATGAATTCCCGAGCAAACGGTCCGTCGCATTGTGTCCGACGCAACACGATAACAAGCTATCTGGCCGCTTTTTTGCACAGATAATTGCTCCTCCTGCTTTCTAGAGCACCGATTGCACCGATCCGATCGTTTCTCAATTGCTCCTTACGAATTTCTTCTATGCTCCTCCCGTAATGTCGCTATTATTAGGACCATCTATTCTTGGTCCGTGCCATGGAAAGCCGACATCGTTCGAGGAAAATGTATACCGCGACTGAGAAACGTTGTTTGACATTTTTCTACCGTTTTATATTCCACCTAACTCGCCAGCAGTCAAATTAATTTCAATTTTCTTCTAGCTTCTAATGGCTGTTAAAAGTAGCATCTCCAAATTGCAAGGCGTCAACTTAAATTAGTGCCATTTCGAAATACTTCTATATACAGGCTCTCAATATCGTTCGTTTATTATAATTTAAAAGCAGACGAGTTACGCTCGCTAAAAATAAGCACATCCCTTATCAATCGGGCCGAGTTTACACAGGCCTGTTTGCACAATATGCCTCGGTCCGTGCAACAATGTAGCTTCACGCGAGTTACATGTCCATCGTGTTCTCAGCATTCGTTCGCACGTGTCACAATCCTTTTGTAGCCTATGAATCATGTTGATTATACAGGACCTTGATATCAATGACGATCAACGGGGAGAACGACGAAGACGGGGACGAGAGAGTCGTTGACCCTACCGATCCTCGCGATTTCGAATCATATTTGATCATTTAACGTCAACGCTAGAAGACTTGAGATTTCTATTTTTATATCCATTGTTAAATCTCTTACTATTTATCAATGACTAGTTTACCGCTTTATACATACGCGAACATAGAATCGGAGAATCGTGTGTGCTCTAAATACACACGCAATATGTATTTCATACTGTCACCGTTGTTCCTGACACTGTTATCTTTAACGTGATTATTATTAGCATACTTTGGAAGCAGACTAATCCAGCTGATAAACAAGCAAACAATTTGTTCAAATTGATTGTATAATCTAGCTACCTGGATACTTTAAATACCCTCGATATCTGATCGCGACAAAACTTTCCGTGTGAGTGTTTGATTAATTATTATAATCAGATTGAAGCATTTAAATGGTAGCAGTGGGTGGGAAGTAAGCTTAAAAATAATCTGGAGAGTATAAAATGCTCTTTTTCAGAATATCCTTAGAGACTTCGTAGGCCTGGGTCACCGTTGACTCTACCTCGAGACAAATAGTTAGGTAAATAAGAATAAACTCGTGAGTACTTATATTGTTATCGATTTTGGGAAGCGGCATTCTTCGTCGGGATAAGTGCATTGTCATTAAGTTCAGGGAGCCGTAGTCATCGCGATAATCCCAAAGAAAATATTATTCATCCTTTTCAACCGTAAATTTGTCTTCTCCCCTTCTATCGATATCGTGCAACAAACGTCGCCGGTGACGATTCCGTTCGCCGGTAAACAGTGCACGCGACACGGTTTTCTCCGTTTATCCCGACAGATCTTTTCGATGTGTAAACGCCGTCAAGAAAATTTCCTCGTTGACATAGGTCGTATCTTATCGCCGATTCACAAAATACCGAATACATACAAAAACCGGCACTCTGTTAGAAGAATAACGAATGGACATTCTCCGACCAGTTTTCGACTGATCAGCCTTGGAGAAAGGTCGCGTATTTTCGTTAACTCTACTGCTGTTCATTTTTCTTCATCTTTCTTATCGTTATTAATTACAACGGTACGTAGATACATCAACGTTTTCTTTTTTTAATTCACTATTAAATTCAATCGTTCGCACACGCGATCTTTGCACTTTGTTATTGTCGCACGGAATTTATTTGCAATATTTCTATAGAGAGTTTCGTTTACGGGTAAATATGTTTTGTAGGAATGACACGTGCAGTAGTTATATGTTATATGTAGATTAGGTACAAGACGCATGTGGTGCGTCGTGTGTTGCAATGCATAGTTTACACGCGACGCACCTGGTGTGTCTTCGATAGAACGCATATGGCGCGTCAGGGAAACCTTGCTTTCTCCCTATGTTAATTCTTCTGCATATTACTAGTCTTGATTCTCTAATCACATTTTTCTTAAAACGGAGTGCATTCAGTTGAAAATGAAATAAAAATTGATAAAGTAAATCGAGTATGGATTAAGTTTGCCTCCTCTGATTAGATCAGAGGAGAGGAAAGAAAGGCCGCGGAAGGCACGAAAACCTCGTTGCTCCGCTTCCGCCTCGATTCTGCACACGTGTATAATTTATCGGTATGATAATGGAGGCGTATTTATGCGGTGCCGCAAGCATGCCGGCTATGACGTGTCGTACGTTCGCAAACGATGCGAAGAAACAAACGATGCATTAAATTAAATCGACGTAAGAGCGTGGAATAACGAACGATCGAATCGGAGGCGCGAGCGTTGAGCGCGCGGACTTTTACTGGGCCTCGTAATGTTACATGCTGTTATCATCTCGCGCGTGCACAGATCGCGCGAACCGCTTTTCTTTTCCGTTTAATCGCCGCGCGTCTTTTAATAATTGCAACCGGCCCGTTCCGCGTCTGCTGTTTCAGTCAACCGTGGACGACGATGGCGTCGCTGGAGAACAAAGTGGATGAACGAGTCGCGAAAGCATCGCAACAGAACGGAGGCGGATGCAGGAACGAGGAGCTGCCTCTCGAAGATGTCCAGGATAACAATAACGAGGTAAGAAAATAATTTTCTTGGAAAATTTCCCTTAGAATACCCTAGTCCAATTGTTATTACAAGGGTAAGTCATGATTGACCTAATTCCACTACTCAGGGGTTAAGCATTCTGCCCTTTAGATTCTATGTCGCCCATGGAATTCTTTCTCTTTAAGAACTTGCAAAAAATAACACTTACAAAAAATAAACCAAAGCTCTTTATTTCGAAGAAGAAACAAAGAGAAGCAAAGTTTAGAAGGCGTGCAACTGATTCGCAAAGGCGCGGTCTAAGATTACGGTCCATTTAATATGGTAATCGAAGAAAAGTTTCGAATAAACGACGTTAGAATTTCTAAGAAGAAGTTTGGGAATACTTGCTGTTTGCAGAGCATCGAAGTGGAGATGGTGGTGCCACCGGACGGGGGATGGGGTTGGGTGATCGTCGCCGCATCCTTCATGTGCAATCTCTTTGTGGATGGTATCATCTTCAGCTTTGGTGTCTTCCTGAACGACGTGTCCGAGGCTTTCTCAGTTTCCAAAGCGAGGGTCGCTTTGGTTGGCTCGTTGCAATCTGGGTTCTATCTAATGGCTGGTCAGTGAGACGATAAGATCTTCTTGAAGAGAAAGGATCTTTTTTTCATATATAATAGTTTCGTTGCTGTTTTATTCTGTTCACAGGTCCTTTTGTGTCGGCTTTGGCCAACAGGTACGGCTTCAGGCTGGTCGCGATCCTAGGAAGTGTTATAAGTTGCGGTGCTTTCGTGCTCTCCTACTTTAGCACTTCCATCGAGTTCCTCTACATCTCTTATGGTGTACTTGGTAAGTTCTTTGCTGCTGGCCTCGGCGAGAAACTTTTTTCCGTGTTCTATTTCACGAACGAGACTTCCTATCTCCCATTATCGGTATAATATCGATGCTTTCCAAAGTTTTCTTGAATAATTTTTCCAAGAATTTACGAGCAGATATTTAATTTGAATTGAATTTCAAAATCTTCAACTTGATTTCTTATTTTTCTTTATCCATTGTCAGGAGGTATCGGCGCAGGATTGATCTACGTGCCGGCTGTGATAACGACAGGATTTTATTTTGAAAGATGGAGAGCCCTGGCTACAGGGATCGCGGTTTGCGGCTCTGGGATCGGTGCTTTCTTGCTTGCACCCATTTCAGATCTGCTCGTCAAGGAATTCGGGTGGAGGGGCGCGTTGTTATTTCAAGCAGGTAATCAAAAATATCCTCATTACTACGTTGACGAAATTTTGCGAATCTTCGAGCGACAACTTAAGACTCAACATGCTTATTCAAGCTTTTGGAAATTTTTCACAAACTTGTTTGTGTCATCATATATTATCTGACATATTAATTAAGCAGAATCTTGTATCAAGATACATTTAAACATGTGTTTAAACATCTCGATAATGTTAATAATTGAGACCATATTTTCATTTGATAAATGATTAAACTTGGTCGACTAATTTTGAGACACTCTGTACGAAGAATGTTGCAGCATGCAAAAATGATAAACCAATGGAATGTTAGAAAAGGTTGGCTGGAATATTGCAGGAATGTTGCTGAATTGTGCCATATTCGGGGCAATGTTTCGTCCACTGAAACCGATCAGGATTAAAGTGAAATCTACCCCAGAAAACGTGGACTTAGAGGTGAAGAACAGCTTGATGGCAAAAGGTGTGTCTACCGCATCGTTGCACTGCGTGCAACCTGGCAGAAGTGGTTTCTTTGGTACGAATAACAACACGGAATATCCAACAGCAGCCGAGCTACTCGGCAGTAATCCCAACATAGTAAAGTAATAATTCAATCTTCCTATGGACATACCGCGTGTGTAAGTAGAACGGATCAATCATTGAAGAACTTTTTGTTGCAGTGTTTCCAAATCTCTACATTCACTTCACAGGGTTCATGTGGAGCTACGTACTTTGGAAAGGAAGTTAAGCAACTCGGAAAAACGATTATCCGCGCCGATCTATCCTGACCTGGATGTGAACATGGACGAAAAAATTGCAGAAGAGAATAATCTGCTGGGTGGTGATGTGGAAAGATTGAACGGCAAGGTACCCACGGTGAGTCTGAAATATCTCGCGTTGTTCTACTGATAGACAGGAACTTTTCTAAGTGCCGTACGTCGCCGACCTTCCGGACGGATGCTTTGTATCTACAGGGGTACATGCCTCGAGGAGTACCTTTGCCAGGATAGTTCTGAAGATTGTTTTCTCACATTTGGAAAGAGCTAATGAATTTTAGCGAGATTGGATAATTGGTTAAAACGGTCCATAAGAGCGTTCGTGGCTCGTCCCGTGCCAACAGGATACGGTTAGTTGCAATAAAGGAAAATTGTTGGCAGATTCGCAGACACACGATTAGCGGTCGAAGACTTCGCGCGGACTCGGACTGTAGCCAAAAGTCGTTGAAGGTGGGCAACAAGCGGAATCCGTTCAGCAAGGATCCACAGAGACCATTTTATAGGGACGATATCTTTTATGGGGGTTCTTTGAACAGACTGCCTCATTACAGGTCCCAGGTATGAAACTATACATTCACTAATATTCTCGAAAAACATAAGAATAATATTGAATATAATTTTCATAGCAATCATCCGTGGGCTATCACATGTCGGTCACGCGTTTGCCAACCGCCACGGACGTAGCTGAAGAGGAAAGCGGAAGTTGTTATCTATGTCCAGAAAGCGTACGAAGGATCCTGACAACCATGCTGGATTTGAGTCTTCTGAAAAGTCCTTCCTTCTTGATCCTGGCAATCTCCGGAGGACTCACTATGATGGGCTTCTATACACCCTTTATGTACGTCGCAGGTATCGTATCAAATTTTATCAGATTCATTTCTCGAATTAATATTCTAAGTTAGTGGAAACTGTTTCTATTCAACAGACCGAGCGATAAGAGCAGGAATCGAGCCATCCACAGCGATGTTCCTGGTGTCAGTGATCGGTATCGGTAATACCATTGGTCGTGTGGTGTGTGGAGTGGCTAGTAGTTTGCCAGGTGTCAATGCATTGGTCGTTAACAATATATTCATCAGTACTGGTGGATTATTAACCCTACTGTCTGGTCTGTCGCTCACTCAGGGCTTCCAGTTTTTCTATGCAGCCAGTTTTGGCATTAGCATTTGTAAGTATATAATACAGAGTATCAAAGAAAAATCTACCATTGAAAATTTGAATTATTTCAATTTTTACAGCTGTCTTCGCCTCGCTGAGATCGATCCTCGTGGTAGACCTGCTGAGCCTGGAGAAATTGACCAACGCGTTCGGGTTGCTTCTCCTGTTCCAAGGTGTGGCAGCTGCCATAGGCGCGCCTCTTGCAGGTGATTATAAAATATCGATTTCTTTCCAAGTTCCATAAAGTTGTCCTTGCGGAATCGTTCACGATGATCCCATTGTTCAGGCGCCTTCATGGACGCGACAGGAAGCTACGACGCCTCTTTCTATCTATCCGGTAGTCTGATCTTCTTATCGGCTGTGATCTGTTACCCTTTGAAGAGGATCAACGAATGGGAAAAAATGAAGAGCAGCGAGAAGAACAGCGACGATCAATCAAAGTCTTGATCTGTCGCGTTCGCTGCTTAGCGCTCCGTGTTTTGTACATATACCGACGTGTAAATAATTTATAACGAGCCTTTGGAGTCGTTAATTAATCCACGACGAACAGGAAAAAAGCTCGTTACAGTCAACGATCAAAATCATCGTCGTTCGAATGGAAGGGTCTGTCGGGTTCGGTCAAGTGCAATTGGCGAGCAGCAGAGATTTTGCAGATACGAATGAAGAGGGTATATCGTAAAGAGGACATTTTTGTCGAGATCTGATTCGACATAAGAACACGTTGTTTAGGGTAATTATACTGCCGTTCATAAGTACATGGACACTGCTATCTTTACAAAAATTTAATTTTAATTGTTAATTAACACTTTTACTGCCACAGTAAACTTTCCAAGTGTCTCTGTACTTATGAACAGTATTAACACTTCCATGGGGTCCACGGTATCCTACGAGTCCTTTGTGTTGAAAAAAAAAAACCATGGACAGGACAGGTTAATGCCTTGTATCGGTGCCTTTTACTCATAATCTTCCTCAAATACCGCGAGGATAAGAATGATGATAGATCCAGTAAGAGAGATTGAATAGATCACTTATATTGTAATCTATTTTTGCTACGACCTTGTTACCGTGTCACAAGCGAACTGCCATACTCCAGATTCGCGTAAGTTTAGGTAGTCTTCACGCTTTCTGGATCGTGAAACGTACACGTCGCATCGTCTCGACGGGAAACGATGAGAGATATCTTGGAAGCGATCCGATTCGCAGGCAAAGTGAATTCGTTAAATCGTGATCGATCGATCTCTCGTTTCGCTTCCGAGATATCTGGTAGAGCATGTTTCTATAATAAACAAGCACAAGCGTACGGTAAAGGCGTATGTACTTGCATAAACGGGTACACGTGATCTTGATATAGAGAATGTGCATCCGTTCTGGTGCAGTGCTATTTATAGCGTTAATTAACACGTTGATTGTCATCAGTGATTCGTTTCACAAATTTCATTGAAAAATGATAAAAGGGGTAAAAAAGTTAAAGTTACACTAACGATTTGAAACAGCAAAATTATCGATATTTTAATTTTTAATTAATGAAAAATTAATTTTCTACGATGGCAATCAAGGTGTTGAGCGTTTCGAGCGATATCCGGAATTGGGTTCCAGATGTCGGCGTCCTCTAGCCTTAAATGACTTGCTCAAAAATTAAATCCGTTCCTACTGTTCCTAATTAATTATCTACTGCGTAGTATTTCTCTATTTTTTTTTTTTTTTTTAATTAGAGTCGAACCGTGTACCACGAGTTCGTTGATGCCCTTAATTCTCGTAACACGCGACGTTTCGAAGATCGCGAAACACTTACACTCACTTTGTTAAGAAATAAATTATTGAACGTATCCATGAATCTGTTTTTCTATCTCCTACACCTATCCATATGGAAAACACTTTCAACGACGTAACCGTAACGTGACTACAGCGTGACTAACAATAAGGTGTGCAAAACTTGAATTTTCCACGGTACATAATCGGTGACTGCATTTAAGTTCATTCCGCCACACCTCTGCTCGCGTTAAAACAACATGACACAAGATAATGTTATAAATTATTTATCGTCGAGGTACCTGTCTCTCATTAGCTACGCCTTCTTATCTCTTATTACATCGACGATTGAAATTTACAACTTTTAACGTTCAGTTTATTGCGATCATTAATGATCCATTTTACGTTTCTTTGCATCTTAAATGGCTTGGATTTAATTTAGATATGCGCTGTTATGATTCAATTGATTTTTTATACCTCCTTAATCGTTTTCTCGGCTATGAAATCATATCCGCATTAATTAATGCAATTTCATTAAAAAGAAAAACAAAGATCGCTATGCAATCTCTATCTAAGTAACACTTGTGTTAATAACAAAATATTCTGTTTCAAAAATACTTCTTGAGTAATAGGTTCGCAACGAAAGTGTTAACGAACACCGGTAATCAAATTCATAAAGCAGTCCCTTCCGTGGGGAACGCTCGAGGAATTTGCATAAGATTGTTTGTGTCGCAGTTGGGACGGTCGAAAAACGGATCATACTCCTCGAGGAGTTGAAAGAAGACGAAGAAGAAGGTCGACCGTGAGAGAAGCGTGTTTAACGAATGCCAATAATTTATGCCCGGACATGGTCGCGAGGAGAGAAAGACCGGCGTTGGTTCGAGCGAGCTAGAGCAACGAACAAAGTCATAAATACTGAATTGCAGACAATTCTCTCCTAGGTAGCTCAACTCCAGTTTCGTTCGCTCGAATTGCTCTTTCTAGCGTGTCACCGCTCGACTCCGGAAGATAATTGAAAAAAACACAGCAAATTTTCCGGATCACTCGACTCTGTCTGAAGTTAATAAAAGAATTTCTCTTTCTACCGAATCTTGCCAACGTAATAAGCTAATTGTCCCAAACATGCATTTGTTATATATTTTCACTGATCTGGCTCAGTTTACGATTGATTGCATAAGCTTTTAGCATTTCAAACCGGTAGCCAAAAGCTAAGTTTTTTCTTTCACTGTGCCATGAATATTTTCGGTGGTCGATTAAGAATTCGTTTCTCCTCTGGCTGACCCTCTTCCTCGGGCACTCTTTTTCTTTAGAAGTGAAATTGATTTTTACCAAGAGCACACGAGTTAAGTTCTGCTAGTAACTTCCAGAAGACAGAACTACCATTTTTCTGCTTTGTAATTACCATCGCTCAACGATTCTCCGAAAATATCAAAAACAATTATCTGCCACCGAGTTATCGCAAAGTATACCGGACACAATTCCTCGAGCACTTTTCAGTTCCGCTCAAACGTTTCTGTGCGAGAATCGTCCTCTGGCGCTCTCGAGTCTGGCGCAGAAGAGGGCCAAAGATAGAGAAGATCGCGAAGAGCCAGGTGATACTTGAAGAGCAGACAGAAGGGCAAAGAAGGTATTAAAAAAAAGAAGAAGAAGAAGAAGAAAGAAGGTAGCGTAGAAAGAAGGGCCAACATTCGCGACGGTGTCTCGAAGGCAACGGGGTCTCTGCTTCCGACTGCAGATACATTGCGACATAGAACCGGGGGTTAGTGTAGGGGGTTTCGTGGTGGTAGGAGAGGGGCGAAGGGACCGGCAACGGGGGGTGGTGGTTCGCTAGAGGCTCGAAAGGGGGATGAAATGCGCCGCGACGCGTTGCGGCGAAGCCAGAGAAAGACGGAATGAATTTCTGCTCCCGTATCCGCAGCATCCTCCATCCTTCTCCCTTCTTTCTTCCAACGTTTTTTCTTCACCCTTTTCACCTCATCGCACACGCTTTACATCCGAACGTTTTCCTCTCTCTTCACGTTCTTCTCTCCGCTTACCCTTAAAACGTTCTCTCTGTTCAACCTTCGACCGGATATCTTGATCCTTCTCTTCCGTATCTACCTCTTTCTCTGTTTCACCCTGTCGCGGTCCAGTCGAGTGTCGGCCCGTGTACCGAGCAGTTCACCTCGTGGCTGGCTCGTTCGCGAGATAAGGTGTGCATGTGAATCCTGGCTGGTTAGACGAGATCTTTCGCACCAGGGACCACCGTTTCGGACGACCTGGCCAGGATCGAGCTACAGGAGGAAGGATCCGCGCGACAGGATATCGGAAGGATCGACTCCGTGCGGATAACGCGACGGGAGAATCCACGTGGCTTGGAGAATAGACGCGTGAAAGGTAGAAGGGATAATTCTATCTCGGGAAGGGTGGAAAGGGTTCGCGTTTAGTATGGAAGGTGCACGAATATCGTGCGGAGTGTTTCCGAAAGGGGTGAAAATTTATCTGTGAATGAAACGAAAGTTTGTTGATGCAATTCTGTTAGGGTTGTTTTAGATGTTGTTTTAATCTGTACATCTTTGAGGGAATTTCTGAAGGTAAAATTAAATTTAAACAGCAGAATTTTAGTGCTTTCAAAGGTATAGAAGGTAAATATTTTTTTTCTAGTTTCATAGAAACTCTAGACTCTGTATCTTTTCATATTCAGAATGATGATTCGTCTCATTCGAACGAGTAGTTCCCTAATTACCTCCAGCTGGAAAATAAGCATGTCTAGCTTGCGCTATTCTCGAGTAGTCGAGAGGGGAAGCTTATTAAGCCCTGCTTCCTTCATTCTTCACAATTCTGAGAATCTTAAAATAAGGACAAGTCCAACCTACAGACTTGATCAATAAAAAGAGAAGAAAGAAAGTATCATTTTTACAAAACTTCGTCATCAGAGAAGGCTTTCAAAAACACTTTAGATATTCGATAAGCAGCCTTTATTTGATGTTGAAAATATCCAATAGATACATGGACCCTTGGTATTCCGTTCAGACGCGATCGAACTTGGATTATTTATAGTTTGATTGAAAATCGACCGGCCAGGTCCACGTGCTTGGGATGACAAAGCGTTGTCAGCTTATACAACCCTTAGAAACCGTTCGTTCTCCCCTGATTCTACGTTTCTACCAGTCGTAGACGGGCTTTTCGATCGTATCTCTGTTCACGAATCCAGGAAACTCGTAAGCAGCTTAGCCAGAGATACTCGAAGTGGTCTTAGGATGTAACGCGACTTTCCTACTGCTTTCACGGCCGCGCGAACTCCATTTCCGGTGAACGGGCGGGTGAAAATATTACGTGACACGAGTCGACGATGCTTCAAAGGATCGGAGTTTATCAGGTTTCACGGTTGATGAAAGCGAAAAACGTCTACTCGTTGCTCGTTTGGCCGCGTTTCGCTTTGCTCGCTTGTTTTCGACATTAACCACAAATATTCGATGCTTAATCCATTCATGTTCCAAATTCGGAAAGCAAGAAAATTTCACGTTGTGTTTTAATAAATACGATTCCTGATTTTATTATAAACATTCAATTTAATTTAGTTACGAATACCTTCCGAGGTAATCGAGGTGCGAGTTAATCGACCTCTATAAAAGATTCGAATGAAACCGAATTGCGTCGGGTCAATTCATTTCTTTGACAAACAGGCTTTTCGTTGGCCATTTGACAATAACCGACTTCTCCAGCCCCGGTTTCTTTCTTTTTACTCCGTCGCGAGCATTAATCAAATTAAAATTCCCGCCTGCGATCGAAGAACGGTCTTTATGCGAGCCAAAGCTCAGTGGTACACCCTTTCGGTTTTCCATCGGCTTAATTTAATCTCGCGAGGAAGATTAACACAGCTTTGGTTATAAAACGAAAATATGCGGACTGTTTTACACATAGGGTAACGCGTATTTAGCCCCTTTAGAATGATTGCCTTTTCCTTTGTTCCTTTTTTTTAGTCGCTTGTATTTTGTTCAATTAACGCTAAAGCTAAATTTATAATTTTTAAACAAAAGAGTTTCACATATTAAATGATGTAAAATTTAAAAAATGGAAATGATACGAAATACAAAGTTAAATTAAAATTGGGGCTCTCTACATGGTCCGCCGTTCGAGGGTTGAAAAGATTCTAAATAGAGGAACAGATTGTAATCGAACGGGAATACGGTATTAATGTTCATCCAAGCGTGTCTCAAGGGTGCAATCAATAGGCTAACTCTCCCGGGTATAATTAACACGCTTCTCGATTTTATTAGCGTCATTAATTCTATTGTCACTTCAATGAACGCACCTGTACGTTATCCATTATGGCGGTGCGCGGTATCTGGCGCGAGAAAGCGCGGGAAAATCATCAAGATCAATGGCGCATAACCTCGCGTGCTTGATTGCCTCGCACACGGATCAACGTCGATAAAGTCTGTGGCTCGAGGGTACTGTTTCGATGAGAGCCACTCGATTCCGAGCACCCACTCTCCTATATATCCTGCCAGCCAGAAAAACGACACCGGCGATTTAGTATACTTGCTTATTGCTTCCGTTTTTCGATAGCCGTGTCGATACGGTGATTTTCACGACGACCGCGCGACTTTTATTGCCTCTTACCTGGCGATTATCACGTGTTATTTGCATAAATGAAATACAACCGCGAACGCGATAAGGCTAACTTGGTAATTGATCTATTCTCCTATCTATAGTGAAAAATCTAAGGATAAAAGTGATATTTACCCTTTGACGCAAGCGAAGGCATGTAAATTTCTTATAAAAGGGAAAAAATGCGAAGATAAGAGGTTCCAGATTGGGTTCGCCCAAGGATCTCCCTAGAGTCTAGGGGCCTATATCAAAGGCAACCGATAAAGCGTACTTTGCCCCTAAGTGTACATATCTCTCTTACTACCTCCGATTACGCCGATCATCTTTCCATTTCTGCACTATTCGTCGATGCCTATCGAACCAGTGGCGCCTCCTTTGAGGATCCACCAAGAAGTTCGGAAATGTTGAAATTAGGAAAGGGGGCGTAACGCGGGGAAACTTTGGAACCCGTTAATAGGTTCGTAATCTGCTAACAAGCCAGATCGTCCGTAGCAGTTGGTAATAAATTTAGTCTTCCTGCGAGCTTTGTTAAATGAAATCGAACCGATGGACAGAAATGTGACCATCGTCGACGATACGCGACCAAGTGCATCAGGTGTTTACATTGGATCACGTGGTTCTGTTGTTTTAACCGCGAAACGCGTTATTTTCGTATTTCCCGCGCGACGTCGAGTAAAAATAACTTCCGAGAAAGCTTTAAGTATCGTTCCTTACCTGGCATTCGTCTGTCTCTCTGCGAAAGGTGAAGCCGCGAGCACGCCGGGTTGAAGGAGAGTCGCCATTCTACAAAAGGAAGAAGAAGCCAGTTATTTCGGTGCTAATTAAGTTGACACGTCCACTCGTATACGCGAAAGCACACGGTCAGTGGGGGACGGTGCCTAATTGGCACGGCGGCAACAAGATCATCCTTAATTGGTTAATTTGCGAAGAGGCACGAGAACCGATGCGTCGCGGCGCGGTCCAGTGTTGCAGGATGCAAACGCACCTGGACATCACCGGATAATCCTGCCACATTTGGGATCGAAACGCGAGCAACCGACCAGAGTCTACGATACCTCCTTAACGATAATCCGAACAACATTTCTTCTCTTCTATGACAAGTTCCTCCAATACGTGACCAAATTCGCGATCATGACTAGCGGACAGAGGAACAAGTCGGTGGTGCATCCGGAACAACAACGGTACACGTACATGCCATGTCCACTCTACGACACCGGTGAGTTAATTTTACTGTCATTTTGCATTCTTTCCCGATTTCTTAATTTTAGAACAGGTAATAATAAGCGTATAATTAGAAAACTTTCGTAAATTTGGTGTTTCACTTTTAAACGGGAAAAAGAGTCGGATTTTCCTTCGACCAAAATGGGGGAATTGCATGCAAACGTTCCAAGTATAATTTTTTTATCATTAGAAGCAACTAACGATCGCATAGTGGGCGGAAATGCAAAAAATAAAGCCTGTGACTCGTTCCATAGGCTACTTGCGATAGCTGTTCCACTTACTTCGTTATTTGCCATTGGAATGCAAACAGAGGGACCGCAACGTTCTATAAGATTTCCTCTCGATCCTTGAAAGTTGGCGGGCGTGGTCCGTACTAAAGGAAATTGGGTTTCTATAACGGTCGGACAAAGTTTTCAGATAGTCGAATCGGAATGAGCAGGTTTTTCTCGCGGCATCCCTCGGTTCGTACCTAGATGTCTTTCGACTTAACAAAGGCTTCCTAATAAATAACTTTTTCATCGAACTTTTTCAATGAACCTCTCTTTCGCCTCTGGTGTTGCAAAAGTGATCGTATACATTTAATTGGTTGCCTTCCCTTCGAATCGGATTGCGTTATTTAAATCCGGTGTAAATTCAGCAACGAGGTTACTTCGGCCATCAATATTTATTAAATTTACACCGCTATGCGATTGTCCTGTATACGCACGGCTCATTTGAATACCAAAACCACGAAGTTTTCTAATTAAACGCGACAACAAACTAGTCGAGACTGCTCGCATACATTTTTCTGTCGAATAAATTATTTCTTAGACATCTAGCAAGCCTGTGAATTTGTTTTTTTATTCGATAGAAACGTCCGAGTTACACGATTCATCAAATTAGAAAAAAAACATCGGCACGATTAATGTCCCATCGCCTAGAGAAAGTTGCATGGTCCACGTGCATGCGGCCAATTACGCTTAGAGATTAATTATAGCGACAAACAATAATCCCCGGTTGCTCGTGATCCATCAACGTAATTCCAACGAGAGACGAAGCGTCGAGCGTGCAAATCCGACAAACTTTAAACTCGACTACATTCGCCGAGTATAGCGACGACGTTTACCCTGAAACACATGCGCTAAACTTTGACCGGGGCGGGGGATGATAAACGAGGCTGACGTTGAACGCGAATTCACGATGTCCTCGACGACGTTGAGCGAGCGAAGGATACGAAAAATATACCCAGCCGTTTCGTTAAACTGCTTTTAAACAGCGATCGCGTGAAATAACGAATGTCGTTTGATCTTCGAAATTGTGCTCGGAAGGTATTTGCATGCCGTTCGATCGCGAGGAACAAACGACAAAGCGGATCGACGGTACAGGGAAGTTAAGTAACCGAGGGGAAAAAAAGCCGATATTTACAGGAGGGCTGCGACGGGACGTTTTCATTCGTCACGCTGTTGGTTACCCGAGTCGACGGAAATTGCAATTAATCCGGGAACAGGTGGTGTCCGTGCCGTTAACCACCGCGTTGCATAATGAAACAAACGGTGAATGAAACATGAAGCGACACGGCCCACTAGCGAATCATTACAAATCGCATTGCGACAAACTGTTTACATCCCCGGGGAAAGATTTTCCATCCCGACGACGATGTTTGAGCCTGTGACTTTTTCATTGGCTCGATAAACATCGGAAATTCTATGAAGATCGTCTTCGAGTCGACTGTTTAATTAAAGAAACTTGTCTCTTCCACGATGTCGAAACGAGCCAACTATTTGACCATGCGGACCGTGAACTATCGGCCACTACCGATGGAACTATTTAACAGAGAACCAAGTGACTGTCGATAGAATTGGCACATCGTGTTCGATAATTTGTCGAGTAACTTTGAAATGCTAGGTACATCGAGAGAGAATCCTATTTAACCCCTTCCGTCAATTCCTCTACATTTTCTCTAGACGGTATTTTAAAAATATATTTCGATTTTCCTGTCGAATTCTAGAAACGACAAACTGTTGAAGGTTATCGGTCAGTGAAGGCAAATAAATTCGCACCGCAGATAGAACCGCGTCGAATAAACAGGAACGAGAATAGGTGAATTTATTATCCACGGTGATTGTTTATTCGATCCTGATAACTGGTTTGTTTTTCGTTCGATTATTTATAACGCCGTTGGCAGAGAAAAGATGTAAAATCATGGTAATGCGGAGGCTCGAACGTGCATAATCGATCCGCGTATTGTGTAAACAATTTATAGCTCTTTTGAATTTTAAAAAAACGCTATATCTCGCTTGCAGCTGGTAAAAGTTAGCGTGTTTGTATCGACACTCGACATTTTTTCGAATCTTTTCCATATAAAATGTAACATTGTAGAAGTGAATAATTCCGGATTCTAGGAAAGGTTAAACCTCCGGAGGAATGCAAAATTAGCTCGCAATCTAAACGGTGGCTAGCTGTAAAGAAGTCAAGGTTGCTCGCACGGCACTGCACACGGAGAAAAAAGAAATTTTGCACGGGCGCATCAAGGTGTGCAATCGATTCTGATGCAGTCGACTAGGCGCGCGCCTACCATTCCCATTACGACCCTGTTCGACAGATACAGGGTGTTTCAAAAACATTGCATACCGTTAGAACTCTAGATTCTTCAGGTGAAAACAAATCGAAAAGTTCTCTACCATTTTCTCGTACGAGGCTTCGTTATTGAGATATGAGCGATTAAAAATTGGGCGGGTGACTTCCGGGGTGCCCTGTCTAAACGGTCACGTGAGCAGGGCACCCCGGAAGTCGGGCAGTCAATTTTCAAACTGCTTATATCTCCGAAACGAAGCCTCGGATTGAAAAATGGTAAAGGACTTTTCGATTCATTTTGATATTTTCATGGTGTACAATATTTTTTAGACATTCTGTATATTTCACGATTAAATATTAATTGCCTTGTTGCACGTTCGTGGGACTGACAAACAGTGAAAGGCATATATTACGCGACATTGACGTTGCTAAATAAATGATCAATTAGAAGGGAACTCATAAATCGTCACGGTCTTGGTTACAGAACCTGTATCGACCCAGCTGATCGTAATAACTATGTAACACGTTGATCGCTATGGGAATAAACGATCGAAGGAAAGGAAAATTTTAAATATCATTAGTGTTACATTTCACATTTGATATTTTCCTACGTTTTCCATATTAGATCAATCACAGCTGCTTAATGTATTGCATAATAAATTGATCAACGATGATTAATGAAACATGTAGGGAAAAAGGTGATTGTCTGGGGTCATTGTTTATGACACTGTTACAAATGACCCAATATAATATTTCTTTGGTGAAAATAACTATAAATTACACCGACAAGTAAGTTTGAAGTGATTTATATCGAGGTTAACGACTCTGGCCAGGGATCACTTGTCGCCTTTGCATACAATGTACAGAAAGTGTGTTTCCTTGCCAGAAATACACTTTCCGTGACTTGTCAAGTGTTTGACGAACAAACAAGCTTCTCTAAAAAACAATCAAACGTATGCATCTAGTATTATGATTCCAAAACATGCTATGGAAAATTATTATGTGTTTCTCGACCATATTTAAGAAACAACGAAAGAGTCGAATGACCGGTTAATACGGAAGTGATCTTGTGCCAAATTGTATTCAGTAAATTTTACGAATCGTAAACTGCAGCTGTAATTTTGTCAAGCTTCCACCAATTTTACGACTACTTGTTGAACCGTTCTCTTCGAGACCAGGATCCCTTCGCTGTTTTCAGAAAGTTTACGTTCTTTCTGCCACACTCGTGGCTGGGTCGTTTCGGTTATTTCAATTTATTCTTCTCCTAAACTATGATATTATATAAAGCCCCACTTTCAACTCGCTTCGAAATAAATATACCCGCGCTCGAGACCCTTAGAATTTCGAGAAATTGTCATCGTTATTATTACTTCTTTCTTTCTACAAAATTATATCGAATGAAATTATTAAACATTTCCGTGGCACGTGCGAACGCAGAATCGATTCATTTTCGCGAGCTGTCACGACTCTGATATCGATTCGTTGGCCTTTACTTCGTTTACACGCTCGTCTCGTGAACATAAATCGAATTTTCCATGTCGTTTGTTCCTTCTGAACCACGATCGGCCAAGAGATTTAAACTTAAGTGTGTTATTTGTGCACCAAGTTATTTTGCTATCGGCTCCTAGAAAAATATTGTCCATACAGAGTTTAAAGATACTTCCTATGGATAATGAAAATGATCTAAAGTACTTTGACGTTTGAGAATGTATGGAAGCGTGAACGTAGAATTCGAAACACGATTTGGTTCCTTTTAGTGTTGGCGCGTTTATTCGAATGGCGCGTGCAACGCGAGCTAGCTGTTCGAGAATGCGAATCTATATTTTGCCCAACTGCAAACGTATTCGCGGTACGCCGTCGCGAATGCAAAACTGGCCTGGCTTGTTGTATGCACCGACATGGTCGACGAATGCTTTAACTTCATGGAGATTTCGTGACAACGCGTCGCATCGACGATCACGTTCGAAACTTTGGCTAACTGGAGAATAGGGTTCACTTCCTGAAAGCCTATCAACGAGATTTTTCACCCCTATCATTGCTTGTTGATTGGAAATAAGATTTCTCGAGCTTGTTAACGAGACCTCACGCGACAGAATCGTAGAACCCCGCACTTGAACTCCCGAGTTCAAGTTTAACCCTCGCGTTCTACTTACGTGCGAATGCCATGGCAAAACTTCTATCGACTATAAGAAAGTTCATTAAATAAAAAGAGAACTTCTACTTCGACTTTGAAAAAAAACACACTTTTATTGTTGGTGTTATCAACCCAGTCTCCATTTGAAAATGATTCGCCTATCTGTACTTCTCGAAACGAAACGACCAAATCACTGATAGTTAAGGAAATATAGAGCACCGGCCATTAAGAAGATTAGCAGAGGTCGTTTCACTCTGATAAGCTCGACGATCGATTGCCATGACACTGCGAAATCGACGCGTCCCATCGATTTTCCTCGTTTTTCAAGCACCTTGAAAGTATTCATAGTTTTTGTCGTTCGGCCAGCGACGTTGATACGTGCGTTAACTTTAGTCCGTTAGACGAATGCCAAGAATACGTTCGTTGTTGATGAGATATTTTTGTTCGGAGGAAAGAAAAGACGGCAAGAAACGGCAAATGAAAGTCTTCTTGAAAAGATAACAAGCAAACACGAAATAGCATCTTAAAATAAAATAAAATAAAAAACTTGAAGGATGAATACATTCAAGGCAACTCTGAATGTGCTAATTAGAAATAAGCGTGTATATAATTATAAATATGCGCTAATTGCGAGCGAGCGCGCTGCTCTCTCGCAGTAGAATACTCCGCGGTCAGACAAGTAGTAGCGCGATCAGACATTTCTCAGCCGGGAAAGATGATACTCCAACGATGGTGAATGGAACTAATCAAATCCTAATCACCGTGAAATTTTTCCCGTCCCTTTTTCCACTGAAATTACTTTATTTTTCACTACCATCTACAAGACTCTGGTTTAAAAATCAACGAGTATTGTAACATTTTTCAATCATCGATAATGTTATGTAAAAACTTTTGGTTCATCGTTGGAAGAAGATTGCCAAGTTGATCTGCATGTTCCTCGAAGCCGATCGTTCCTCTTATGCTAACTGACCCGTGAACAGAGATGGGCGAAAATTCGCTGGCAAAATTTTTGGCGAGATTCGCGTGTTCTCTCGCGTTGGCCATCCGCGATATTCTGAATTATGGTGACGGTCCGTCGCCATAAATCTCGGTCCATTTTTCATCCGTGAAATCTCCGCGTTAACGCCTCCTATCCGATGAATCGAACTGTTTTCAATTTTTCTCTCCAAGTCCTTGACATTATTTATACACTGCCGTAAACGCAGAACACACTTTTTTCATTGAAATGAATTAGAATCAGTATTCTATGCGTTTGAAAGAATAATACTTTAGAAGGATTGCAGAGGGAATATTCTGTAATTCGATGCAGATGGTTTTAATGTCGTTCACAGTTTGACGATTCGGTTTATATGGAACACTTGTTGATCTTTCCATTCCTTGCGACGTTTCTTTTATATTCCTTTTTACTTGTTTTCCATATCGTGTCTCTGTCTGGATTTCATACCGGAAAACAGAGAAATGTGTCGCTATAACGTTGTTGAAAGGTATAATGATCTCTTGCTTTTATAAGGCACGTGTTTCTATTAGTAACCAAGGTGCTTTTAAAAAAGCTTTCAAATCGTCGAGTTTCGAGTGCACTTTCGCGAGTACTTTTAACGGAACCGTACAAGTATTTCCAGTCTTAAGTCCATCGTACATCCCGAAACAAATTTGCATTCACGCGAAACTTCCTCGTAACAAGAAGTTCCGTTGTTTCACTTGGGATTTATCGACTTATTACCGCGACTCGACTTGCCTCATAAATCCTACTTTGTAATTAGAAAAATTAATTTCACGTTAAATGAATTTCATATAGAATTTCATAGGCTTTTTAAGGATAAAAGCTCGGAATCTTACATTTATTCCTCGAATTATTATCGCGAGACGGAAAACGATTACCGGTTCGCGTGATTCAATGGGCAAAGAAATTTTGCAATAAAGTCCTTGGAATTTTTCATGGGTGACAAAAAAGGAAGTTCTAATAATATTCACGGCGGGCAGTTTGCCAGGAGAATTGTTTTTTAAAAGTTTCCACGTCCGGGACTGGGGTTAGATTAGTAATAGATTAGGATTTCTTTAGAGAGGAGAAGGTGAAAATCGAGGCGTAGTGCGTTCGCGAAGTTTTTGGCACTGCTCCGTGGCCACGAGACGTCGCGAGGCTGAAACATAGCCTTCCTGTATCGCTTCTTAGCCTAACATCGGTCTCGGCGCGAGCTTAATTGTATCTAAACACGAAAAGGAAAGAACTGTTAAAACAAAGGCGAGAAACCACCTCGACGACGCGACGTCCAAAACTCGCCAGATCATTCGTGGCCAAAAATCATCGCGTTTCCGTGAGCGTCGTCGTTGGCCAGCGGAGTGACGGTGGAGCGGACGATCGACGTGAACGGGCTCTGGTCAGCGTCGCGACGCCTCGTGCACGTTCAGTGCTAGGCTGTCGGCGCGTGGCGAAGCTCACCATCGCTCTTTGCAACTCGTTCCCTCGAGGGCACGTGGAATCTAGCATTTGTATCGATCGATCTTCCGCTCGATCCGCGAGCGATCGAGCCGAACTAGGTCTCCAGGGTCGAAGATAACCCGTTGCGTTGGCTTGACCTTGACGTTGGACGATACACAACATCAACCGTGAATATTTCAACGGAACATTGTATCGATCTGAGGTGCAAACGGAACACGTGTCTCGCGATTCGATCTCGTCTGCCTGTTGGCTCGGTTTTGCCCTTTTTTCGCATCCGGCAGCCACGCAGCGCTCGAATCATCATCAGGTAGCATCTGTGTCAAATCGTTGTGAGATCAATTGTTGTTGAGAGGTGTTCGTGGCAAGCAACAACGAACTGTACCGTTACGTTTTGTTCTCTCTCTCTGTGTGTTTTGTGTGCGTTGTTCCCTTGTCCGTGTCTGTGAATTACTATTATGTGTGTGGGGTTATTGTGGCGGGATAAAGTTGACGGTGTCTACCCTGGCTACGTGTTATTTACCCGTTCTTCCATTTCCTACCGTTTGCGGACAGAGCCACGCATTCTTTCTCCCTCGTGAAATCCTCAACATGTCTGGTTTTATTCGTGAATCATATGTACATATGTGGATCAAGACGTTGTATCGACTCGAAAACGCGGTTACGAGATTGTGGATCCTTTTTACGCTTCGCTGTATTTTTTCTGTAGTCGTAGACAAGTCTCATGACTAATACAAAGTGTCTGTTGGTGTACAGCAGTGCTGTCCAGGATATTTGTTTGATTTTCGAACGGCTGCAGAAGTATTAATTCTGGAGATATTTTTAGAGAGTACAGTGGACAGCACTGCTCTATGGTGTAAACTCCATACCAGGCCTGCACAGCAAGTAGCGTGACAGGGAAGTTGCCTCTTGGTTTCTGACACCACTGTTCGCAAGTTCTCAACTTCTGTCGACCAGAAATACCAAATTTGTCAGTTTCACTTTATCTTCAAAGTTGAATTTCCGCCATCTAACTGCTGGCCAGTAAAAATGAGATCCCCCTCGAGGCAACTTGATGAGCAGGCCTCTTCCACGCCATAACCGTTCGTTGTGCTTGATGTTCGCTTTCCATGTGCCGGAGTTTGTGCATGATATCCGGTACCATTCGCCGGCGAACGAACGAAAGCAAAATGGCCCTTCGGTTCGGTCGATCAAACGCGTGAACGGAGAAACGCGGACGGTTTTTCTTTCATCTTTTTTAAGCGAAGCGTCCGGTACGTGATTTTGAAATCGTGGTAACGATTGTAGGAAGGCACGATTCGCTTTGCCCCGGGTAAAATCTGACCGACAGGCCAAGTGTCGTAACTCGAAACGTCAAACGATTGCCAGCTTCAACTTCATCGGTGGAAATTCGAGGGAAAAAGGACACTATTCCTGACCAGGCGTTCATTAATTCTTGTTTACGTTGAATATCGGCTGAACTAGTTCACGATTCTTGAATTTCCGTCGGCCGATATTGCATCGCGTTGACGCTTGGCTACGATACAGCCAGTCGACGGTGTCAAAAACGTTTGTCTAGAAATACCCGTGACAATAATGCGTCTTTTCGAAGAAGTACACACGCAATCTTCATCTATAACGAAGGATTATAAAGGACTTCGAACGTCTTCGTTTACGTGGAAAGTTTGAGAGATGAAAGATATCGGGTTATCGCGGATCAATCTTCCCGATTGATTATCATCGATTTTCGAGAAAGGTTTGAATCGCGTTTTACTGGCTGCGCCATGAATACTATCGTGACAAGACAGTCCTTGTGGTTGCGGCAGATCAATCGAAAGACTCCCTAGTTAGAGTCAGTGCTGTTGGGTCTAGCAAACATGCCTCGTGGTGAGAAGGTCAAGTCTCGTGTCTTTATTTTCACTCCATTCGTGTAAATCGTCAAAACTTTTAATTCACAAAACACAGTTACTTGAGTATTTATACTTGTGCAAATTGCCGGGGTGTTGAACCCATTATCTACCAAATTTTTTATTGTTGAAATTTTTGGCCGGATAAGTTATATATATGCATATTTTTGGCACCGAGTAGTGTACGTAAAATTCCAAAATCCCGAAATGGGGATCGTGGCAGCTAATGGATTAATGTTATGCCACAGCAGAAGAATACATTTGTGAAGTACATCTTATGTTATTCCTTTCCTTAGTATGGAAAGTATTAAGTTATAAATTAATTCAAGAATAATATACACAATGCTATAAATTGAATCGGGAATATCAACGAGGTGCACGTATCAGAAGGATAAAGGAAAATTCGTGATGTTCGCGTGACACGCGACTGTCATTTCCAAGGCGCAATTATAATCCTGAACCTTGAAGTCTCCAGCTAAATCGAGCGCGATCAAATCGTCCTCGTGCTCAGCTTTAATCCTACCATGTTCAAATCGTATTAGTTTGTTCCACGGAACGATTTCATTCCGACCGATCGAAGCCAGTTGCTCGTGATTAAGACAGGACGAAAAATTAGATTATAGGGACGCTCGTTAAATCGTCTTTCAAAAGTTACTCGATGAAGAGTACAGCAAACTATAAACTTCGAGTGGCGACACTTGGCGCGAATCGTTCCGGGTCTTCCAACGGTACCCTGACTCTTGCCGCGGGTAGAACGAATCCCTAACAAACGAATAACTCGCTCGAGTGTGCCAGGATACAGCAGTACCTCTTTAAAACACTTCTCTCTCCAATAACCTTATTTTCCGTCGGGGAACAAGTGAGGAATGTTCTGATCGCAAGTGCGGCCGTCGATTCCACAGACGAAGCTCGACAGCGGCGCAAGACTAACCAGTATCCCACATCGCTGTTCTCGTTTCTATATCCGCGCCTCCCCCACACAAACCGAGATACATTACATCGTCGATCGAAAAACCGTCAAACGAACGTACCGAAAACGCGGCAAGGCTCACGAAGTCGAGATAAATCGTGAAAAATATGGGGAGACTGGCTAGGGACGCTTTCGTGATCGTCGAGCACCGTTAGAACCACCACCACCGCGGTGTTTCGTTCACACGCGGTAAAACAATTCCAAGCAGACAAATAAAAACCGCGGGGTTGAACGACCCTTAAACGACACACGACACACGTCGTACACGTGGACGGTCCAACTTAGCACACTCACGGTCAGTCATGAATCTTATGTTCCGCAAGAACTTCGGCGAGAAGGGATTCGGTGGTGGTGGCGGAGGAGGAGGAGGAGGAGGAGGAGGCGGAGGCGGATTGGAGGGTCGCACGACCCTCGGAAATACATACGGGCCGGCTACATTGGGGTACACGGGGACGCGGTTCGGCGTGGTGCGCGGCGCCGGCCAGTCGGCCGTCGGGACGCGCGCACCCATCCGACGCAGCAAAGAGTTCGGCTACTTCCCTTCGATGGCGGATCACGAGCACCAGGGCTTCGGATACCGGACTCACTTGTTCCTCACGCCACCGACAGGCGGCGCCCTCGGCTCGCCACCGGAAGAACCAACCGAGAGATTGGGCCCACCACCGAGGAAGAGTTCCGGCCCTCATGTAATCAAGTGGGGGGGCGGTGGTGGTAGCGGGTCTGGACAGGGGTCCAACGCTGGGACCCAAGCGAAACGGAAGCAGGCACAGAGCGTGCTGCAGAAGGAATCTTCCGAACCACCGACACCGACTGCCTCCAGACAGGTAGGTGGAACGGATTGCTTTCAAAGCAGAGAGTAGGTATTGGTAGTGATTAGTATGTAGATGTTAGGGTGAATGAACTTTAACCCTTCTATTGGTTTGATCAAAGCTTGCGGTAACGTTGAATTTAGTTAGACTGAAAACTCACTAACTAATGAAAGTTGATTCTCTAGCTCGAAGATACCGAAATTAATCTTCAGTCACCGCAATCAATCGAAGCAAGAGATTGACGATCGCGGGATGCTACCTAATCGCCCGTGTGATCGTTCGCTCGTGTCTAATCAAATACTTCGATTCAGGTGTTGCCAGCTGGAAATATGGGTTAAATTTAATCAGTCCCTCCCTTCAAGTTAAGAGACTACTGTTCCAATTTACGTGGACGTACAGCTATTACAAGAATAGCAACTCTATAACCTTTTGGTTAAAGATACAATCACTTTCATTCCTACGTCAGTCTGATCAACTTCCTAAAACAAGAAAATCAGCGTTCTCAGTTTCGAAGATGAAGCGTTTACGATCGTGTTGGTTCGATTCGCGCCGATAGAATACCGAATCCTTACAAAACGAATGGAACACGAATCATAGCAAATCTTGTTTTCCCGTCGACCTATCAAGCCTGTAAGACGAATCGGGGACACGATACGTCGGGTTATCGTGCTCGCCTCGATTAAAGCTTGTTGCTCGACGAAAGTACAGGCTAGACCTCATACAGAGAAACTATATGTATGTATATGTACCGGGGAGGATGATAATTTTTGGTTAGCAAAGGTCGAGTTCCTCCTGGAAATTACACGTTGTAACCGACCGGTCGAACATGTCGGTTCGCTATCGACGAGTGGCTACCTGAAACACGGCCAACCGGACACTCGTGACGATATTTCAACGGGAAGTACACGCCTCGGGTTGGATTCACGTACACGCGGATACGTAGCAGCCTCTTCGGAATACACTGGGATCGTTTCGCAAATTATGGAGGATACGAGTCGGGGCCCAACACGGAACCAACCGCATAAAGTTACACCTACGCTGTACTAACCGGCACGCAAACTCCCTATCTTATTGCACGCCAAGGCGGATCTCGCGACGTCCCATAAATATCCTCCCAGTAAACCAACAACTAGCGATGGGATTGATACATATTGAAAATGCTCAAACAATTTAATGCTTCATTAATCATATGAAAACCACCCCCGAGTGTTCTTAGATTTGAATAAATTTTGGCACATTGATAAATTATATCATCTACACACGAATCTCGTATTTGAGAAAATTTCAAAATTCTACGATGGATGTTGGGTACCGTGCAACGCGAAGCCATTCGTCAGACCGAGTATTACAGCATCTTCGGCAGAATAGGTAACGAAAATCTACAAACGCGATCGTGTCGCGTTTCCGCTTTCCCTTCGAATGTAAATGTATCCAGAACGGAATAACGTCTCTTGCTCGAAACGTGGAACACGCTTACGTTTGCAAAGTGTCTTTTTTAAATCTTTTTTACGTATCGGTAAAAATTTATGGGGAAGAAAGAAAGTCTATAGAAATCTTCAGGAAAATGTTCAAGGGAATTAAATGAAGATTTCTGATTTCAACGACTAGCAAATGGTGGAATCAATTTTCTGATAAACTTGACTCGGACATGGGATTTTCCGGTATCGATGGGTACACCGGAAATCCTCCAAAATCGCGATTTATCTTCTCGTTTTAAAAGGAACGAAGATTTGTAATGTTCAGATAGTTGGATCAATACTTTCGCTTGATATTGTAATTTTTTGTGGAGAAAGTGGAAGGTTACTGTCGCACGGTAGTCAAATACCAACTCCAGGGATTAATAGGAGCAAAAACGGCTTTGAAAATGTCAAATGCCGAGACAAAATGCCAAGAACGATCAAGAGCGTTTACGCGTGGCTATAAATCACGAGTCTACGCGAGGGTACAACGAAGGGGACGACGTTAACCTACGTCTAGAGACGAAGGTGTCTTCAACGTTTTACTCGCAACCCCAGGGGTGTTGTTTCCCAGATATGTGGTTGTTAAAAGATGCAACAAGCTCTCGCTAAACTTTGACACCAGCGAATACGTTGCCGATATCTGTGATTCTATTCATTTTGAGAAGACGATAGAAGAAGCAGTGAAACTTGGAGAGAATTGTACCTGTTTAAATTAATTTCAAATTAGATTCGACATTGTGTAGCGAAGGGTTAAAGTTTGAGGGTAACTTTAGCGACAGTAGATGGACGTTGGCGTGAACAATCTGACTAAAGTTAATTATACCGAATTGTATGGCGTTCGTAGGTTTCCTTCAGTGGTAACCGGGCATCCGGCGCGTACACGCCCCTTGTGGTTTCCGGGAACAGTCCACCACGAAGCGAACCGATCTCTCTGGCCACTTTGGACCGCGACTGTTTCATCATTCCCCTCGCTTCTCTCGAACGATTTCTACCAGCTGGAGTACCGGTACGTGCTACGAATCCCATAGGAAATTTCATCCAACAATCTTCCCCATTCTTTACATTCACCTCTTTAACGTTTATGCTACGCGAAAGTGAAAAGACATAAAAAATCTTCGCATGCCTGATTTGTATTATACATATATAAAGTTTATTTCCTTTTGTCACGAAGTCTATCTATTAACATTTATATCTCTAACCAGTTATTTTAAAACTTTTGATTCTACTCGGTTTGATCGTGTTGCAAACACGTTTCACAACCAGGAACTGTGCGTATGTTTTGCAACGAGTTCGTTTAACGTCACAACCTTGCGTGCAATCGTAATGATCGATAAACCAAGTCGCGCTAAAATGTTCTCTCATAAATTCATCATAAGCTTCATCGACTGGTTTCGATCAAATTCTAAACAGATCCGACAAGAAATTGAAACATCTCGATGGCTTCGTTCGTTACAAATTGGGTCACCAAATAATTCTATCTGTACAATGATTTCATCGTTACGATATGCACATGGTATGTTAATCGAGAATGCACCTGCTGAAACCAGAATGCTCGAGTTATTGGCCTTAGAGTTAGTTACGACCTTGCTGGCACGACCTCAACAAGGTAAAAATAGATAAAAGCGTCACTGTCGAGGTGGAGTACAACCAAAAGTTCGATGAATGACGTATCGATCGTAGAATAAACATTGCCGATTACCTTATTAATATTTTCACCGACCCTCAGTTCGTACAATTGATATGCGACTAATATTAAACAAATTTAAAAAATGTTTCTACTTACATGATGGTGAAAGTTAACGTTGGATGCTGGCCAAATCCCCATCAGTTGATTAATCGTTTTCTTTCTTCAATCACAGCTTTGTTTCGACTCGTTGCAGCACGCTCCGATCGCAGATAAAAAGAGGCCAGGAAGTCCTCTGTCGGTCCTCGAGGTCGAAGACCCGAAACAATGCGTTCTCGCACATTTCATGACACCTCTGGAACCGCTGGATCCTCTGATCGAATCCCCGGTTTCTCATCCACTGGTTTTGCAAAGGGACACAGCGGCCGAACTGGTCGCCGAGATAGCACCATCCGCCTCGCAGAGTATTCTCTTAACAAACATGGAAAAGAATGGTTAGTATCGATCTATGAAGATTCTATTTATACGTAAGTAATTAACGAGTATGATTATCATTTCAGCGGACTTCCCGTTCATCACGTATTATCTGATAAACAAACAGAACACCGATCCCGTGGATTTTTACAACGAGGTTCAATGCGCTGCACTGAGGAAGTTCGATCCTCGCGACCTTCGATACGCGGCCAGTCACACGTTGGATTTGTTCAACGAGGTGGCGACAATAGCGAGGCCACCATTGGAACCACCTGGTGTGAGACCACCGATTCCGTCCACCGGCTACATTGTCTCGATTTTCAAGGTGTTCGAGGGTGACGATGGCCTCAAGTTCGAGCAGAACTGGCTCTACTGGACCGGTACTCTTTCCGTCTTTCAAAATTCAAGTTCAAGGATCTCCTCAGGGTTGCAAGGTCTAAGTTTCAACTGAATCTGTTCCAGGTGCCCGCATGATATACCGATACCTGCCAAAATCGGTTGGCTTGAGACGCATCACCCTGCACAAGTCCATGTCACAAGGCGACAAGATGTACCTACTGATCTGCGAGTGCTCGCAGTTGCAAGACAATCTCTCCGCGGCGGCTATATTATTGCCGGCTTTACGCGCTCGATTATGCGGATACACCGGTCTCTATCGACCCTCGGTGTGCTTCTGATTTCTCAAGAAACGCTGACAACGCGTTACCGATGGTAGACTACACTTTAGTAGAGCTACTTTGTGAAATTACAAACGAACAAGATGCAATAACGGAAACATTGTTACAAGATAATCTTCGAGGATGGAACAATATCTGCTCAGGGCTCGTTTCGTTCAACTGTAAAAGTAGCTCGCAATACTGGTAGTTTCGAACGATACGCTTCTGTCGTCAACAAGAATTTCTCCAGTTTTATAAAGTCACTTGTATTTTTGCATCGCCAAGAGACGGTGGTTACGAGTTCTACGCTCCTTGTAACGCGTCGCTTACGATCTTATCGAGCTCTTACTGCCGACGTTTCTTACGAATCTAGCAATTTCACGAAACGAGCCCTTCCCATGGACGATTGTTCAATAAGCTATCGGAAAGTCGGATATCTATCGTGTTTAGTGATCTCTGAATGGAATCGTAATGGGGAAACACCTTCGTATACGCTTTAGGGATATCACGATGAAAAATCTGTACGCTTCGGGATGCACACCCGTCTAGTTACGCCTCTCTGGCCTGTTTGTATTTTTCGACTTTACATACATATTTCATCCAGCGTTAAGGCAAGCGTAACTGGCTGCTCGATACAATCGGGACGACTCTTGCATGTACATACCATTAGGGACACGCGAGACACTTTTATTACTATCGACGACTATCGATTAAATCGCTAACTACATATCATATACTCGATAAACTGTGATATTCGAATGATTACCGCATATATCACACAACGAACGCGACGAGAATATCGCCAAACATTCTCGACAAAATACTCTTGGAATACTACTTGACGAACCGATTTTCAACTCGACGCGACATAGAACCGTCGACGTCGATGATACTCCGTAAACGTAATCCATCGGATCTTTTATTAATTGCATTCACACGTTTGATATTACATATCTTTGCCTGGATTTATCGATACTCGCGGATTTTGATTGCGACACGGGCGAATAATGGATAAACTACAACTTTGAAATCGAAACTGAGTAAATTTGAAATTTATACTTTATTCGCCGGCGAAGATTCGAACGGTAGATCTCCCGCCTTTTTTTCTGGGAGGAATAGGTAGATGGATCAGAAGACACGGGGAAAGCTTAATCAGATTTTTCTTAGGTGCCCGTAGAAATTTTAGAGAGAGGACGAGTAGCATGAATTGGCATTGTAGTACAAACAAGAAATAAAATAATAAAAGGAAGAAAACAGATATTAAAAACGTATAGTCAATATACGCTTGTTGCATACAGACAATAGCTAGATCGATTGCGCAGGCGCGATCGATAATTTAGATTTATAAGAAACCGACGGCGTATACTTGTAAAAATACGTCCCCTTCATACTCGCTGAAACAAAACGTGGAACAAGATGCTCTTAAGTATAAGACGACGACAAGAAACAAATAAAACAAAGACTCGCGATTTTACTGTGATCCCACGTGTATCGCGACGAAACGATACACGTCGTTAATACGTGTGCGATTGAGTGAACTCGATACGTGAGGTGTGATTGATTTTTCTCTCATTCGAGTTAAACACCGTTGAATACCGATTATTTGCCTGCACAAGTTTGTTTACCAGAATAAATTTGCTCCACGCATCGGAGTACGCCTCTTCAGGGTAACTTTGCGATCGTACGAGGATCGAGTTATACGAGCGAATCTAATCGCGAATACAGACATCCAATTGTTTCATTGGACAAAATCGGATTGTACCATACATTGATACTTCGCAATTATAATAGATTTATTATATCATGTACAACGAATAATAATGAAATAATAATAATAAATCACTTCTAATATTACATCTTACAAACTATAATATGTTCCTTTTTACAAGTGAATTTCATTTATGTACCTTATAATATTAGTAACCCCTTGGTCCTCTAAACCTCCTTCTTGCATCAATCTGAAACCATGTGATCATTGACATTTCGTATAACAATATTGAAGGTTAGAGTACAAATATATTATTTTATTAACAATAAAGAACGGTTATACTTACAATCGAATGTTTGCATTCGTAAAACGTTTGACGAAGAAAATAACACTCGTCGGGTATAGAAGGATCTTTGCTTTGGAAACAGTCTCTAGGTGTACGCCTTTGCTAAAAATAAATACACATCATGAGTTTCATTGGATTATACTTATAGAAAATTGTGCCTTTTGTTCATTACCGATTTGTAAATATTAAAATAAACAGGAGAGTGCAAGTTAACCACTCACAATTTTACAACAATCGGTTTCCAGCATACACATTTTCAAATCTGCTCGAATATGAGCACATCTAGAATTATCCTTTAAAGTTTCACCTTCCGTATATTTCATCATCTTGAAAAGCGATTATTTTTAAAGCCTTTATACAAATTGCGTGTAAATTTGATAAGGGATATGTAACTTTGTATTTCACAAAATTCATCACAGAAAATCTAACCTTTCTTTATTTTGCGTCACGCCATGAACGGTGTATAAGACAGACTAAACTGGTCCTATGGAAAGTTGTGTTACGTCGGTAATGTAACACGTTTCGGTCGCCACATGGCAACATTTTCAATGACAAAGAAGCAATAATCTGTTTTATACCTCGTCCATGGTACATTATATTATCCAATCTGTGTGAATTAAATTTCGTAAATGACCGACACAAAATTTAGATAACGATTTTTATCTTGAAATGTTATTTTTTTTAACAATGCATATGATAAGCGATAAAAAATAGTAAATCAAATTCACTAAAGATAAAAGGTTCTGAGGTAAATGACAGTCTCGATAATCTTACAGGAAGATTTGACAGATCACACATTTAATGAATTTAGTTGGTATTCAAACCACAGTATCCTTTGTGTGTAATTATACCTGTTGTATACCTATTATATTTAACAGTAATCCGAATTTCCAACTAAATTCGTATGTGATTCAAAATAATACTTTTCAGACAGATGGTTTATCAACGAGGAAATCAGAGGGAAGGCTCCCCACATTATGTTTTCTTATATTCGGATGATGAAAATAGCGGAGAGGAAGAAACCATTTGTTTGCAACCACGTAATAGAACTACATCATTGCCACGTAAAGTGGAAGTGATAACTATTCAACTTAAGCCAGAGGACACATTGCAAGCTTTAGCATTGCGGTATAGATGCACGGTAATAAATAAACAAAGAAACAGACAAAGGATTAGGATGAAATTAAGTTCAATTATAAATTCTATTTCTAGATATCAGAATTAAAGAGAATTAACAAGATTCATAAAGATAATGAGATATATGCAAGACGTTTCATAAAGGTACCTATTCAACCATTTTCTATATTAACTGAATCTTTAGAAAAGAATCAGAGTGGACAAACAGACCAAGGTGAAATAAATATTCCTACAACTGGAGAAGATATAGGAAATACAACAGATTCATTATTAAATTTGATAAAAAATCCAGTTGTAACTGAATCGCCAAAGGCAGAAATCAATACAATTATATTGAATTCGGTGTGTGAACCTTTGTCATCGTATGGCAGTAATAATAGTTTAGAAATTGCTAGTTCGGATTGTGATCAGTTACTTATTACAGCTGAAAGTAATTCAGGAAGCTCTCATTTAACAGATACATTTAAATGTTCTGGTGATGACTGTGGATTATCTTGGACACAGCTTCTTGGATTTTCCCTACTATTAGGTTTTGCAGGTCCTATTATATATATACTTTACATAGCTGAATTTTCGTCTAAAAATCATTCAACTGCTAATCACTAGTAATATTTCAATCAAAACGAAATAACATTATTGTTTCTACATGGTACAAGCTGCTGATATTGCAAGATATGGAGTGATAATATAAGTTTATAAAAGACTATTCTAATTTAAACGAGTGAGACTGTACTAAAACATGAATTTGAAATCTCTAATTTGCCATTATGTAACTAATATTGGCATAAGTAAGACATTCAGTGAGTAATATAATACTCTAAGCGAATAAAAATTACGAGATACTGTTAAACAGCATGATATTGTGCCTTTATGATTAAGTATCTATTTGATACATTATAGAACGGTTCCGAATATGTATGCTGTTGGCATATGTATGTAAGTATTAACAAGCCTCAGTTTTGATAGTACGTTATTCACTTTAAACAGAGGTGGCCAAAGATATGCTCGTTGGCAGTTGATCTATCTCGAAATATACTATTAAGTGATTTTTAATTGTTTTTTTCTATCAGCGATACTAAGGGCAAACCTATTGAGAGTATATAGTACTTGTGATGGATTTATACATTTTATAATCGCGATATTGTTATTACTTTAATTAAGTGTACGAGTTATGTACTCTGTAATTATACATAGTGATACTAATGTGACTTGTGACAATATTTTATTATGATGCTGTTAAAATTATGTAAAAAATGCTTTTGATAAGACAACTGTTAATCTCGTGGAGATTTATAAAAATATATATTTTAACACAAAGATGCTGTTTAGTATCCCTTCTGGTATTACCGTATAATATCAAACTTATAGTCCGTTCAACGAGCCGAGTCAGCAAATGTATACAAACTTACGTGCTCGAGGCAAGGCCGACGCACATTTTCAGTTCGACCACTTCGTTCGACGTCTAGGTAAATACTAAGCCGGGCATGCATCGAGCACGTGAATTTGTATACATTCACTAACTCGTCTCGTTAGACGAACTGAATACTTAAATCTTAAGGAAAACGATCACATTATTTCAGTAAAAAAATTATGTATAGAAATGTTTATTTATTAATTTCGAATATTGTAAGTTACAAATCAACATGGTACCCCATGTTTTTTGTATCCTCTGATTCACAATAATATTATTTTTTCCTGGAATAAATATATAGTACACATAAATCATTATGTACTAACCTTATAAGTAAATTTCAAGTTATCTTATAACAGTTCAGAAAAACGTAAAAACATCGTTCAGTTTAATAAATTCAGAAGACCGTCGTTATTTTCATCATTAAATAATATTTAATAGAAATTGATATACTTTGAGATATTACTAACCATGATGGTGTTTCACAACTTTATGATCTTAAAATTTCTTGAAACTTTTCTTTGAACCCGTTCCTTTGGAGACCTTCAACACATTAAACCTGACTGTTTTACTGAGTGGCCTACACTCTCCAATAGTTACTACATCTCCAATTTCTACGTCTCTGTAACAAATAATTAAAGAGAAAACAATAAATAGTGTGAAACAACCAATATTTGAAACACTGATAACATTGTATTTAAATTATTTTCAGTAGACGAATAAGCTACTTCACGTTGTTCTTCAGAAGACCGTCGTCAATTTCATCATATAATTTTGTTAATCACAAAAATTAACTACGTGAATCTAGCATAACACAAACCTGAAGCAAGGACTTAAATGCACACTCATATTACGATGGCGTTTTTCAAATCTATTATATTTTCTAATATAATGCAAGTAATCTCGACGTATGACAATAGTCCGCTGCATTTTCATCTTTTGTACGACACCGGTAAGAATACGACCTCGGATTGAAATGTTACCCGTAAATGGACATTTCTTGTCAATGTATGTTCCTTCTATCGCCTAAAACATAAATGAGAAAATAGTACATTTAATTTCTTTTAAGTATTATAATACACCATTTTTCCAACGAATAAATTACTTACCTCACGTGGAGTTTTGAAACCAAGACCTACATTACGGCTATACCTCATAGGCTTCCTCCTTTTGGGGCCCAGACCTTTCTTGCGGTTAAGAAAGATCGTGGGTTGCTTTTGAAACGCACGCTCGGTCTAAAAATGTAAAAATACATTTTTATACTACTCTGCTAGTAAAACGCTATGTTTGAGTGATTTAACCACGTGCAGCGTTCATGCTACGAGTTACTTTTTTATAACAATTATTAAACGACTGATATTTTTATTTGATTGTATTCTTTGACGATAAAAATGATTATGCGGATAATGATATTTAATAAATAACACAGTTAAATATATGAAATTATACATATCAATATTGTTAATATCGTAAACGTACCTGATCAGCCATCTTGCCGTAGTGAAAGAGCAATCCAAACCGGAAATATGGCCAACATCACTCGATCGCCAGTAGAGCCAATATAAAGAAGTGGCTAATAAATCAGGAAATAATAGATATAATTTATTTAATTTCAATAATTTAATAAGTGATGATACAAATATATTTATAACTATGTTTTGGTAAAATGTTTCATAATTATTGAACATTAATATTTGTTGAATCGAGTAGTAGGTCGATCGTTCGTTCGATAGATCGAACAAACGATACAAGTCGGAGTCATTACGAAGTATAACTTGTTACAGATCGAAGTGGTCAGTCGGGAAGATTGGTTTGGTTTTTTTGTGGTTGTGCGTGGGTCGTGGATAATTCAATTTACTCGAGTGGAGACATAAGCAGACATGTCGTTGTGCACCGCATTCCAGTTTTTGTATCGCCATTGCGGTGAGTAAAGACATTTCTTTTCTCTGAGCGATATAGAAAGACATCGGTACTTTGTAAGACTCGAAGGTTATCATGTTCTACGATATTGAACATTCTGATATGTTATATTCGCAAACGTCAACGTTGCACGAGCTATTTATTGTATCCTAATTGTTATTAACTGTTATATGTGCGTCATTTTTAACAAGCACGTTAGGCGCCAAAATCATTTTTCCCGAGTCTACTGCAATATTCGGCCGCAAGATGGCGGCATCCAACTGTTACAAAACGAGATAAACAAGAGTAACCAGTCAATGCTTTACGAGCTCGGAATTGAATCGCTTCAAAAACACGCGAGCTATTTTATTAACAGCCGTGTTTAATGAATATGTAGCTACCGGTCTCAAAACAATTGGTAGCAATGTTGCGATTTCGTAAATTGCGGTTTCTTAATTAACAAAATTCGTACATTAAATAAATAACTCAGTCTTGTGCTGCTTTTGACTGATTTAAAAAAACAATAGAATCAAAGGGAATCAAAATTGTAACTTTTCATTTGTCAGTGCAAAGTATGGTAAAAGAGGGACTGGTATGTAGACCTTACCTCATCTGGTAACGTCTGGGACCCCCTAAAATCATGAGCTCCTCTGGAGAACAAAGGCATATCCAGTCCTTTCATACATATCTGTAGTCAGTGGTTGCATTTTCTGGGGCGATTTCATTACTCTCACAATCTATTTTTTATTTTTCAAGATCAATGCTCATTGAATATAGGTAACCTTGATACAAAGTATCGTTGTTTGTTCTTATTACCGAATATTTTTATTCGACTATGAATGTCTTTATTTCAAACATGGACGCGTACACGAAGTCCAACTACGTTTCCTGTTTCCGTAAATGGTATTAACAACAATGAAAAAAAATAAAAAGGGACTGGTATCGCGAACTCGTATTCCCATTATCGCGTCACACATCGTTGCCGTTGTGGGAATCGATTGGAACAACAGTGTCTTTCCTTAAGCGCTCTGCATATTGTCACGCTTTCGTTCATCGGCTGCAACTTCGAACCACTTGCACGAGCAACGGTGAACGGCAAACCGCAGTGGAACAAATTTTCCATTGTTGTTTCCATTTCACTGTTATTTTATAGAAATCGTTAGATATCCCGTTTAATACAGGATTTTCTCTTGGAAGGTAACTCGAGAGGCATAAATTATTTATTGCCATTCTCTTAGGAAAAATCTGTATACCATTTAAAAGTATGCGACAGCCTGTATACCGGTAGGCAAATGAGATGGATATGTACGAGGTACAGCTTCCACTCCTCAGTTTAACGTCCGACAACGTTCATCTCCATTTTCCACGGACGACCTCCGTGTAACTCCTCGTATTGCTTTCTCTTCAGTAAAAGATCAGCCATACACGCGTCTCCTCCAAAGCGTTTTTCATTAGTTCTGGCTCGGTTGAATGCAAATCGTGGCGATCATTTGTCTGCCAACAAAGCGTCGTTACTGCTCCTTTTTTTATTTTTATTTTTTTTTTAATAGTCGACCCGGTCATCTGTCTGCCTGCTCGTTCGTATCTTTTTTTTTTGCTGTAATTTATCATCGATAGCGTTGATCCACGTGTGTATATACGATGTGTAATGATATTCCGTGGTTAGCAATTAGCGATCCACTCCGTACCCTAACTCGAATCCGTCATCGTCATTGCGTTGCTCTCCATTCACCCGTCCGTAGGGAAGCATTTTATATTTCTATCGTTATTATTAACATTATTATTCTCTAGTATTCTGTAATTCTGAGAAGGCAAAAGTGCTTTATCCTCCTTCGTTGGGACCGTAAAACCGCGTTTATCGCATCTCTTGCTGTTCGGAGGATGTACGTCTTGGTGTTATTGTGCCCTGACCGTCCCCAGCTCTCTAAACGTAATTGCATTTCTTGTGACGAAGATAATTTATCGGCCAGTTTTGCTTCCTCTCCCCCCTCTCATTATCAGTAATCGTGACGCGTAATTGCGAATCGTTTACCAATTATAAGCGCATCGAGGATTGTGATTAACACCTTGGTTTATGTTGTCCCGGTTTAATTGTGGTAAACCCGACTGGCACTTATTCACTTTTACGTTACGTTACGATACGATACCTTCGCGACGACGCGAAAACAAGAAGGATAGACGGAAAAAGGGAAACGGATGCGTTTCTTCCAGGACGAATAAATAGAGCTATTAGCGAGGGTATACGCGTTATTATTTCTCTAATTACTGAAACTGAGAACAAATGATTTGATGGGAGGAACTTAATAGAATATCTCAACTTCTTTAATTATTATTTATAGAGGTAAATAACACCTAGACGCGAAAAAATATACCTTCCAGGTATCGTAAAATAAAAGCGTAAGTTAGTAGGATCAAAGGGTCAGAGAAAAAGTGTCTGAGATACATATTTCCTTTCAAAATATCAATCATTTGCATAGCGATACATCAGGAACGAGATACCTAATCATCTAATTTGCAGTTATGAATTGGCACCTAGGCAACTTTTTTTTCCTCTCAATATTTCTTGGTAAGGTGATTAGGTCTTTTGTTACCTATCATCCATTCCACGTTCGACTCCTTTGAAATTTCGACCTAGGCCATCGGGTATAATAGGATAATAAGGTATTTGTATTTGATGAATCGAGCTGCGTTCATTTGACGTGGTAAACTTTGACTGATAGGATCGAACACAATGGGATAACGAGGTGTTATTAAACCGGATAAACATAATTAGATAGATCGTTTCGATTCTGTATTACTTGGTGAAATTTCTTCATTTATATGTTAATGACGAATCCATGCACAGTTAGGTACAAGATATCAAATATATATGCAAATTTTAATCAAGTAGCAAATGAAAAATTTTTTGTCGAAAATTTGAACGTTAACAATGATGAAGGAAACAATAGGTAAATCTTGTCAATTGTCAGACCGTTGGAAGTTTTCTGTAATTGCGAGGAGTAGAGGATCTCAACAGAGGATTCGAAGAAGCTTAATTGAGGAGAGGATGGTAACGGATCGATGATATTTACGCGGCATTCTCGAGGCGCGACTAACAAATTGATTATCCTTGAACCGTGGGTAGCCGGATTGTATCCAGACAGCTGGAGAATGTATTATTAAGCTGAAGAATCTTCGACGGACTTCCGCGCTTCTGAAACGAATATAACAAGCCTGAGTAACACACAGACGTTATCCTATGCCAGCTCGTTACCCACGATTGCCATTCGATCTGCCGATAATCAATCTATTCGAGACAGCCTTTAATTCACGCTTGATCGTTCGAATCGTTGTACGACAGTTTCTGTTTTCTTGTTTCTATTCGAACCAATCGATACAGGAAAGTGTACAACCTCCTATTTCGTTTGTAAAGTCTTGTTTCTACAATTAAGCATACCATACCTTGGGGTCATGCCATGTATGCAGATTCTCTTCAAAAATTCCGAAAGATAATTTGCGAAAATTTTACCAAGACGAAGGTGTCTCTAAAGTGACAGACGTTCATTTCAAGAATGACGATACTGTATTTACTTCCTGGACAGTTCAATGCTTCAGCCTTCGAACCGAAACATTCTGAATTTTTTAAGTAGATAGAAATCGATTTTAGCGTCATTGGTGGTTGTTTAGCCGTAAAAGAGCATCAGGTTAGGAACATGTCTTCTGGTAGAAGCATCCTTATAAGTGAATCTTTGAGATTACGTACAGCTTCGAAAAACCTTGGGATGTAAAAAAGTACCGCAATCGGGAAAGTTTGTCAAGGTAGACGTATCAAAGTAATCCAGCCTCTTAGAAAAGACCCTGCTCTCAAAGGGTTAATTGGGAGCCGGGAATGGGGTAGCGTTGCGTGTTCTCTGGTTGGCGCCAACCGTTCTTCGAATCGGCCTCACGTAAACGAACTTAATTAAATAAATCCGCGAAAGGTAAAACGAAATAAACGCAATAACTTTAACGATGCGTATTTCATTCGTTTCTAATTTGTACGTGCTAGAGAATAAGACGTAAAGAACGCTTCCGTCATTTACTTTAAGAAGTTAGCTTCGTTTCTAGATGAGAAGATTCGATTATGAGCTGACCGATACGATAAATGCAAAAGGTTCAGAATATCATCCACGTAGTCTTCATAATATAATAAGACTGGAAATTGAAAAGCTCAGTGAATAGTCTTCGATTAACGATCATGCCACGGTCATTTCCAACGTGTTAGGATCGATTGATAAAATAAAGTTCGATAAATAAAGAAATCTAGAATTATCGTTCAGCAGTACCACAGCTGATCGCTCAAAGCTTTTATTCCTCTCTGGAACCACGACAGCGAAAGTAGCCAGCGGAGCGATCAGAACAGACCACGTAACGAGACGAGAATAAAACTGAAAGCAGCAACGGCAGCGGTGCACGTTGATATTATATAAATCTCGTGGAAGGTGTACAAGTAAAGGACGTTGTATCAGAAGTGTATCGTTCGAAGCTTGAATGGCTTAGAGATGGAAGTAGAAGTGAAAAAGTAAATGATGAACGAACGTTTGCTATCAGGTCTGGTGCTTTCATCTGGTCTGATCGACGCTCGACATCCCTAGCGGATCTGCCACGATAAAAATCCCAATCGTTTCTCATTCAATTATCTTCTTCACGCTGCCTCGTTGCCCCGTTATTCGTTCGATCGTTTCGCTCGGTTATTCAACGATCGATCTTC